CGCCCCCCCAAACATGACGCGCGATTTCAAACCCGGAGACCTCATCTTCGCCAAGATGAAAGGGTATCCTCATTGGCCGGCTCGAGTGAGTGATTTGTCGCCGTCGCGTTTCGCGGGGCCACCTTCCTGCCCACGGGCCTGCTTTCAACCCTTTCTCTCCTTTTTTTCCCCCTCTTTTCTTCGCCCTCCCTCCGCCTCGTTTGTAACGTAGCTTTTGCCATCTCCATTTCACCCACTTCATCTGACATGTAACTGTGACTGTCCAGGTGATGCATGTACATTAATCTGTGCCCTGCTTTTCACAGGTTTTCTTTCATACAAAGTGTTCAGAAAGGATGCCAATGGGTGTTTGGTTGTAGGTGAAAAACGAGCGAGCGCCCGACTGTTAGTTCCAACCCTAGTGAAATGTTAGGCTTTTCTGGATTTTGAATAAAATGCAAAATGTTGTGGCGTCTGCAAATTACACACGAACTTTAGTATATTAAAAGGAAAATAGATGTGGCTCAGTTGAATTGAGCCTTTAGGGGGAGTTTTTTTTTTTAAACATTTTATTGGGGGCTCTTACAGCTCTTATAACAATCCATCCATCAGTTTTATCAAGCATATTTGGACATATGTTTCCATCATTTCTAAACATTTACATCCTATTTGGGGATTTTTTTTTTCTCAACTAAATGTGTGGAACTCTTCGAGCCTTCTACATGTGTTGGTCAATACAGGGGTTTGGACCGAGTTATTCTTGAGAATTGGACAATAAATTGCCACCAAGGTAGGCCCAGAAAAATATCACTTTTACTGGTGAAATTTGCCTTATGGCCTTGAAGAAGTTGTTTTCCCTTTGGTGGTTTCATGTGAGTACATGGAAGGGTGGGATTGGATTCTTGGGGTGTACATCCCAAAGCTAGTAACGCCACAGGATTGTAAGAAAAATGTAGAGACTGTCTAAATACTGCTGTGTCCTTCTCTGGAAACATGCCGTATTTGTTAGTTTATGGTAGGACCCAGATTCCAAGAAACAGATTTATAGGCTCCAAAGGTGAAGATTTCATGGGGTTTAAGGAAACTTGACATTTTAAAAAATTAAAAGTAAGGGGGAAGTGTACTATTTTGTAGTTAGTGGGTGTTTTCCCGGACTGTTTTCTTTTTCTTCTTTGTAAAGGTCTTTTTCTTCAGGATAATTAAACATGGTTGTTTAGTGACTCAGCCGTGGCGTGGAACGGAGGGAAGAGACCCAGGTTAGACAGGAGAGCCAGGCAGAGGGGCTCTGTTTGAGACAGATGTGCCTTGATTTTCCTCAGCTCTTCCCAGATTCAGGGGTACAGGTTTCCTTATCCAATCAGAAAAGCTTTTTTCCCCACCATCTTGTCAAATTGATTTTAATAATCCTTGTCTATAAATCTGATGACCTATATATCTGTTTTGCTTTGTTTCCTTTGTGATAACTTTGTTGTGACTTTTTTATTTAGGTTTGAATTCCAAATGGGTTGTAAGCTTCTTGAATCCAGTAGCTATAAACTGAAGTTCTCTCTGCCTTTTGAGCACAGTCAGTGCACTTCTGAAACACTGTAGTAGTCCGTGCTTAAATCCTCGGCAAACTGGGTAGATCTAAGTGCCTTCCCGAATACTCTTCCAGTTTCCTCTTAGTATACATTCAGATGTTAGAATAGTCATTCTAAGACATTTCCCAGATAGAACAGGTAACCAAAAGTTAGTGCTGTCAAAAGTAAAAGTAGCTTGTGTGTGTGTGGGGGGGTGGGGTGGGGTGGTCTGGTGGGGAAGGATGAGGACCAGGATATTCTAGATATAACTAAAATGGGAAATTTTTTGTCTTGCTTCTTTTCCCCCCTTTTTCCCTAAAAGCAGTTGAGCTGGAGTTATTTCCTGTGTGCAAGCATTGTATCTCTTTTCTTACCTTTGGTCTTAATGAATTAAAAATACTGGCTGTAGAATAAGAGTGAAGTGGAGCTCATTGCTCCCATTTGATTTTAACATTTTATTTGTATGTATGTTCCAAAGCTCATCAATGTTAGTCATGTAGTCCTGTACCAGTCATACCATTCCTTTTATTTATTTATTTTTAAATCACTTTATTGGGGGCTCCTACAATTCTTATCACAATCCCCATACCATTCCTTTTAAATGTGGAACATTGGAACTTTAAATTCCAAAACTGCATGCTTTTTAATGTCAGTATGCAAGAGAAGGCAGATGGCTGGGCTGGGACAGGTCAGTGATCTCTGCCTGAGGATTAGCTGTCAGGACAAACTTGCCTGAGAGCCAAAGAAAGTTTTAGAAGACATAACCAGGTTAGGGCAGACCTGCTACAACCATTCTTAAAATCAACTTTAAAAAATGTACCTAACATTTATTAAGCTCTGTAGGTACACAAACCATTAAAGCTGTTTGCTGACAGAAACCCTGGAGTCTAGTTGGTAAAATAGCCCTTATTTTAATAAGAGCTCTAAGCATTTTGAGGATTCTTGGATGGTCCCCACAAAGTTGAAGTGCTAGAGATAATCTCCACCGTACAGGCAGGGACATTAGACTCCCTAAGAAAGGTTGGATATTAGGCTGTTGATGTGCCTAGTTTTCTTTAAGACTGCTACAAAGCTGTAAGTGGTAGGCTTTCTTAAATAAATCAACTTTTTTTTTTAGTCAAAGGTCCTCTTCAAGATTATGAAAATGATAAAAAATGTTAATTAAATTTCATGTACACCTCTAGATGGTAGTTTAATGGCTTTATCTCTGATCTGCTTTTTCTTTTGTGCAGAATGGGAAATAACAAGTATTGTATATCTATTAGATAGGGTAGGATTTGAAGCCTTGGTCTTTACTTGAACTAGAAGTTTTGGAAGAGATATAAAAGGGTACCCTTATGCTTCTCAACCATGTGAGTATAGTCTTTCTGGAATTTGCTTCAACAATTAGTCCAATGGGTTAATGTTCCATGCAGCTGCCAGTTTTCCAAGACCCTGAGACAGAAAACTAGAGTGCCTAGCTACTGTTCTAAAAGAGGGTTACAGTGGAAGGGCCTGGGAAGAGAGAGAAAAGTATGGAACAGAACTCAAGAAAAACAAAAGTCAGGATTACTAGTCTGAGAGAAACTGGTGGTCCCTGGATAGACTGTGACCCTCAGACACCCTTCAGGTCTGGAACTGAGCTCAGTTTTCTGCAAACAATATTTGTGCCTCTAATGGAAAGGACTAGAAAGGACTCCCCACACCTTAGACCAGTGGTTCTCAACCTTCTTAATGCCACAACCCTTTAATACAGTTCATGTTGTAGTGACCCCTGACCATAAAATTATTTTCATTGCTACTTCTTCATAACTGTCATTTTGCTACTGTTAAGAATTGGGCGACCCCTGTGAAAAGGGTTGTTCGACCCCCAAAGGGGTCACGGGCCACAGGTTGAGAACCGCTGCCTTTAACCAACCACTTCAGAACAAAAAGGCAGCACTTACCCAAAAGACCATTCAGAAGTGTTAGGAAAGGAGGAGGCATGGAAACTGGGAGGAAAAGAGATGTGTGGTGTTAACATAGTGGGAATTGCAATCAAGGACATGAAATATGTATGAATTATCGAATAGAAAACATCTGTTATATCTTTCACCCAATTCATAATAAGGTTTTGTTTTGTTTTTTAGTATTTTTCAGACTTTGGGAAATACTGTTTTAAACATTAGTTACTGCTAATTTTATATTACTTTGCTATTTGCATACTGTCTGCAAAAATATCCTTTAGGCTTGCTGAACAGATGCAGATTCTCTTTTCTGAAATAGTTATGGTCAAGATATATTTCTGATTTCAGAAGGTTAGAAGACTGATTTGTGATAAGGTCTGGGGTGGGTAGCACGTCAACACCAGTTTTTCTTAGAGATGTAGAAGCATTTACACTGGATAGGTGGGGTGAAAGAAATTTAAGAGTCGACAGGCTTTGTCAGCAAATGAGTTTGAAGAACATCTTGGTTTTACGGCATCGTGCATGTTCTGGTGTAGGTATGTTGAGGGATGTGTGACTTAAATGACCTTAATTTTTCTGATTGTTCTTTTAGGTAGATGAAGTTCCTGATGGAGCTGTCAAGCCACCCACAAACAAACTACCCATTTTCTTTTTTGGAACTCATGAGACGTAAGTCCTTTGAGTTGTAAAGGCAAATCAGTGTTAATTTAGTGGAATCATTGGGCTTAAAAGTACAGGTTGATTCAACAAAGAAATGATACAGTAATAAACTTTAAATAATCTTTGAATTCATGGAGAAGGCCTTAGAGTGTCTCCCTTTGTATTTCATTTTTTACGGTAGACATTGACACCTGGTTCAACTTGGTATTTTCTGAATTGGAATAGCTGCTTTCTGCACTGTAAAAAGTATGTAGGGACCTCCTGAGATCAGAACAGTGACTGATAGGATGCAAGTATGTATAGAAGGTTTTCAAAAAGACATTCAGCGCTCATAGTTAATAAAAATCAGTGCCTTTTATAGCACCCAATTTTAGACTTTGCGAAATTAGCTATGTAGACTGTATATTGCCAGAAAGGTGAGAAGGGCAATTTGGCCATTTCCCTGTGTATGTCTTTGCGTGTTTCCAGAGGCACCGGGACTGCTCTGCTGCCCCTGGTGGCTGTGTGGTCAGAGAACCTATACGTGAAACACTTTATTTTCAAAAATTGAAACTGAATGTTGAAAATTGTTATTTCTAGGTGAATGAGGTGACTCCAGGGCCTATGCTGATTTGTGAAAATGTACCTATAATTTAATAGCCTGGACAAGTGCTGTATAATCTCACTGATCTGGGGTGTGAAGTTTGAATTTGCAATACTTTTTAATAGATTTAAGTATGTTTATCTGAGGTAAGGAGAAATGTTAATAGTCTAGATATGGAAATGTAAAGAGCATGTGTGTACACGTGTGTGCAGGTGGTCATAAAACATGTCAGAATATACATTTATTACGTTGATAGTCTAATTGGATTCATTCTTTAAGAGTGACAAATTTGGTAACATTTAGTTACTGTTTGAACTTTGATAGAACAGTTTCCCAGTTACTGAGCTGTAATAGAGATGTTTATCTGTTTTACAAACCACTGAAAAATCCCATTATCTTTTCATTCCATTTTCCAGCCAGCTTTTTAAGCCTCTCCCTCATATTTGCAGAGTTGTGTGACCATTCGCCAAAACGTGAACTTACGCCCTTTTCAGCAGCGCAGAAAGGAGCCCTACACCCATTAGTTGTCCCTCTCTGTTCTTCTGTCAGCCCTGGAAAACCACTAACTGCTGTGCTTCTGTTCTCTAGATTTGCCAGTTTGGGAGATTTCTTATAGGTGGTGTACAATGTCACATAATTAATTTCTTTAAAATACAGTGTTTGAGTCCAGACTTGGGTTAACCTTCATCATACTTGGTTTGAATTGAGTTCAGGTATGTATATTCCATACTTTCAGAAAATACTCAACAGATATCTGACCCATCAAGGAATCCACTGTTAAAAAGAACTTCAGTGAACTTATAGTAAGGAAAGCACATCTTCTCATGAGAAATTGTGTACTTTTTGGGGGGGCAGGGTCCAGCAGGACTGGCTTCACTCGAGAACTGTAGTTAAAACTGGGAATTCTTGGGACTCCACTCCAGACTTATTGAATCAAGAAGAATGATTATATCCTAGATTTTATTTTTGTTATAAGATCATTTTATTGGGGGCTCTTACACAACTCTTATAACAATCCATACATGAACTTTTTCAAGCATATTTGTACATACGTTGCCATCATTTTCTAGACATTTACTTTCTATTGAGCCCTTTGGTATCAGTTCCTGTTTTTTCCCTCCCCGTCTCCCTCCCTCCCATAAGCCCTTGATAAATTACAAATTATTATTTTCATATCTTACACCAACTACTGTCTCTCTTTCCCTATGGTTTCTGTTGTTCGTTCCCCTGGAGAGGTGTGTGTGTCATTATGTGTTGATCATTGTAATCGGTTCCCCCTTTCTCTCTTTCCACTTTCCCCCTACCCTTCTGGTATTGCTATTCTCATTCCTGCTCCTGAATTCTTTGTGTTGTGAGCTCTTATCTCTAATTTGTACCTGTGTGCATGCTCCGGTCTAGTCTGAACCTAGATTTTGTTTTAAAGTGAGAATTTTTACTTTTACAGGTCCACATCTTTAAATTTTAAATTGGTGTACAAATTAAGCTTTCCTTAACCATTGTTAGTTAATGAGTGTTTTAACTGAGTGGTTAATGAAGTTGCTGGCTTTTGAGAATTCAAGTGTTTAGAATGAAAAATTTTATTTCAGAATGCACTTGTAATATTCTGTGCCTGTGTTCTCATAAGGCACCGTATATTTTAGGTGTTTTGACGGTGAGATGCGCCTTTCTACTTCTGCAGCGTCACAGCCGTAACTTGGAGATGCGCGGGGCGGTTAGTTCTGCCCCATCCTTACAGGGGGGTTGTGAGTCCGACTTGATGGTATGACTGGCTGCTGCGGCTGCTGCTGTTTTGTTGTTTGGTCTGGCGATTTGTAAAACAGTCTTTAATAATGATTTGGCCTTTGCCTCATCAAAAATTGGAGAGTGGTAGTTACTTGACCTTTACAATATGTATTTTGGCAGTGATCCTAATAGCCAATAAGTAGACCAGGAAATGTAAGATTGGGAAACGGCTAATACAGTATAATTTTGTAAACAGAATCCTTTAGTAGCTCTGTTCTTTTTCTGGCCTGTAAGCATCTGATTTTTCTTAGCATTCTTTGGTATATTCATATTAAATTCATTCAGCAATGAAGCTTTGAGCATTGTCAATGAGCCCTTATGCGTTCCATCTACATCTGTTGGGTATCATGAACCTGATACCCAACTTAAAAGAACTTAAAAGAACTCTGGATTTCGAATCCCTAACTTTGTACTCTAGTTTATCCTTTGGGGCAGAGGATTAATAGTGGGTTAATTCATTGATTGCTGTGGGCTAAAATGTTGTGTCATCTTGATTACTTACTGTAGTCATCCCTCTGCTGCATCTAATCAGCAAGTCTTGCTCTTTTCTCCGCCTCATCTCTGTGACCACTCGAGTCCACACCACAGTTTTACTGGCATAGAGCCCGGCCCAGCCCTCGTGGGAACCTCGGAGCAGAGGCGGGAGTGCTCAATGGGAACCCCAAGGCTGGCCCTTTGGACCAACCCTGAGGCACCTGGAAAGAAAGGCCTGTTGGTCCCTCTGACAGGGGTCCTTGGAGACCTAGCAAGCGCAGTTCTCTTGTTGCCACGCATGGGGTTGCTTGGTTTTTAACCCTTTTCTTTTTCTTGGTGATTGGTTTCCATACTTCATGTGGAGCCAGTGATGTTTACTTTGACTGCGTATGAAAGATCATGCCATTTCCTTGTCCAAACCTTCAGTGGCCCTTTATTAAAGTTTTCCCACCAAACCCAAACAGTATGATTTTTTTGTAAGACTACAATACAAACTAGCTGTTATTAAGTGTCCTAACCTTCGTTCTCGTTGCGGTGAAGCGTCTGAAAAGACCGTGCAGAGACCTGCGTATCTTGCTCCTCATCATTTACTGTGGTGCCTGGCACGTAGCACCTGTTAGATAAATATTTGGTGATTTGCATGAAAGCACTATGTACTGGATAAAATAATTTGTTGATTGTGAAGTAGCTAATTTGTCCTTTCGCCAACATTTATATAGTGTATAAGACAGTCTTTGAATCCTTGGCTGCCTTCGTTTGCTCTAAGACCTTGCATAGGTTACTTAACCTTTGTGTCCCTTTCTTTATTTGTACGATGAGAAGAATAAAATATTTCACCTCAGAATTTAGGGGGAACCACCACGACTTTACATGAAAGATTCGTAGCACACTGTTTGGTATGTGCTAGATGCTGACCACCAGTTCGCCCTTCGCCCTGACTTGAGGTGGGCCTGCCCGGGGAGAGCATGGCAGTGTCTGCCGGGGTCAGGGGTCAGGAGAACTGGTTGCCGGACCTTGGCGCTGAGGGAGCGGGATGGTTTCAGACCCTCTTAGTAGCTGTGAGCTTGCGGAACTGTCTCCGCCACTTGTACCACCCAGAGGCTTCTAGACAGTTGAATAAATATCAGCGACTGACACACAGGATAAGATTCTGACTGCTTTATTTCCTTTCAGGAACAAGATGCATTTATAAATTAGAGGTTCTGCTGTATGTTATTTTCCCTGGACTTTTTCACTTGTGTTTATTGTTTTGAATTATACTCGGTTTTTTTTTTTTTTTTTTGGTTTTTTTTTGCTACCTAGTTATCTTTGCTAGTGGAGGAATGTTCTCACCAGTGTCTTTCTTAATTTATACTGTAAATTCTTGAAAATTAAAGATTGGATTTTACTGCTTTTTTTCTCTCCACTTAACTCCACTTATATGAACTGTCCTAATCCAAAAAGGTGAATGTTCAGTTTTCGGACCTTAATAATGTGGGTCTTGGTGGCTTGCCGTTTCAGGGGCAGAGTGACTTAGGGGAAGATCTAGTGGCCAGTCTTCGGTGCCCCGCTCACGAGAAAGGAGTCTTCCCAAGGCCTAGAGGGAGGTGGTGCCTTTTAGAGACAACCTGCTCCGTTTGTGGTAGTTGTGGGGGATGTATTGGCTATTTGAAACCTTTACGCCAAATGCTGAGAGAAACGAACTTACCAGCAGGTTTGTGGCACATAGTAGGTGTGCATGAGAGGACTTCAAAAAAGTGTGGGAAAATGGAATTAAAAGGGTGGTGGAATTTTTTTAATAAATTGGACTTTTTCCTATAATAATTGCATACTGTTAGAATAGTTGTAGATCTATTTGTGAAATGTTTCATGTTTTGTAATTTAGTAATAATAGAAACTTAAGAGTCACAGTGTTTAAGGAAAAAGGGCTTCCTGTGTAGTTTTAGTATTGGTGGCAGTTAAATGAGATTTGAGTTTTGATCTTGTCAGTTCTGATAGTCTTTTTGCCATTTTGTCTGGAGTGCTCCAGCTTTGGTGTGAGAAGAGTGCTGAGCCTGCAGTCCGTAGGGGTTCGGCTGCTCACTGGGAGGTCAATAGTTGGAACCCACCAGGTCGAGGGAGACAGATGTGGCCACCTGCTGCCACAGTGATTGACAGCCTTGGAAACTGTGGGCCACTTCTCTGTTCCTGAGGGCCAGTGAGAGTTGGAAATGACTTACCCACAGTGGAGTGTTGGAGGGGTGTACACGCGTTACCAAAGGGGGATTTAGAGAAGTTAACGGCTTTTCTTTTGACTGTTTTTATGACAAATGGGATACACTAAAGGCCTTTCAGAGTGTCCTGTCACAATCATGCTTGGGTAATTTAGATAGACTTCAGAAATGAAAAATTAGTACCTTTTTCATTTAATGAGTTGCCATTCTCTTTGAATGTTTTACATTAGCTTGGATCTTTATGGCGGACACTGGTGTTTGAAGAGTGGGTTCACAGCCAGAAGCAACCAGGAGCACTAGTTTAATAGCAGATGTTGCAGAAACCCTGGAAAAGGAGCCCCGAAGCCATCGTAAGACGGTGGAGGCTGCCCTGTTTCTTAGCTAGATTCACCTTGCTTGAGTTGGTTAATTTTCTGACCTTTAATTTTCTAATCTTTAAAATCAGAATTTTGTTGAACTTTCCTTTGATCACTGGATTTGGTCCATAATATGCCTTGAATTAGTGTATGCGGGGCCTTCAAGAAGTTCGGAAAAATGGGCTGTAAAGATAAAGGCATTTTTCTAGGAATATTTTGGAGCTCGCATGTGTATCTTTTCATTATTAAGACATTCTTAAAAGCATAAGAAAATTCTTTACAGAGAAACATTATGTTTTTCACTCCTATACATCCCTAAACCTGTTAAATATTTGGGTGTGTTTTCTTTCAGACAAGTCTGTGCATTGGGGCTTTGTCTCTGAAGCCCTTGACTGTATATGCCAGCATGGACAAGGGGGCTGCAAAAAGTTTGTGGAAAATTTAAAAGACAGTTTTTCCCCCACAACTTCTTTTAAGCTTCCTTCAATATTAGCATCCTCTTTTGTTTTAAAGCATTTTAGATGTGTTATTTTAACAAAGACAAACTCAGAGCCACCGTTAACATTTTGGCATGTTTTCTCTTAGATTTTAATTTTTTAAATATGTGCTATCGATGCAATTATGTCCTTTTATTTTAAGTCTTACTCCATTTTTGTACATTATTTTAAAATGAGATGCCTTGAATGAGTAAGAACCACCACATATGGTTGTGCTCTGAGGGTCTTGGGCTGGAAGTTCGAGAACTAAACTGGGCTCTCTTCCCCGAGGCTGTGGGAATTGCTTCCCAAAGGGGTTCCTTGTTCACCCCCTATCTTGTCAGTGTGTGTTTGGTTCTAAGCAATGCCTTGGTCCGTAGCGTATCATTTGACCCAACACTTTACTTTAAATTCATTTTGAAGATAGTTGCAAAGATGGAGCAATAAATATAGATAGCTGCATTATTTCATAACAGAAAATGAACAATAGACTAATTTTGGGATAGTCATTCCAGTGAAACTAATGTTAGAACAATTTTTGACAGAGAAAGCTGTTCATTTTAACTTTTGGGGAGGAAATCAAGTTATAAATGAGTATCATACACATTGAAATCATATTTATGTATAGCTACAAATAAAACCAATATATGTATTTGGTGAAATTAGAGATGTTTTAAATTTCTGAAGTTTTTTAACCCCCATATTTCTCCCACAATTTACCCAGTTGAAGTGCACAGGTTAACAGATTGTACCTTGGCCAGAAATTGCGCAATTATCTGCAAATCAATAATTGAATATTTTTATCACTCCAAAAAAGAGAGCCTCCCTTTCTCACAGTCACTTGCTCTTCTTGCAAACCCTTTCCTCCCAGCTAACCATGCATCTTTCCGTTTCTGTAGGTTTGCCTCTTCTGGACAGGTCACATGGATTTAATATGTGTTGTTTTAGCAAGGTTTATACATATGGTAGCTTGTATTCCTTGTACAGATGGACACTGTTCCATCGAATGGCTGTCAAACCAAACTCGGGAAGCCCAGGTAGAGCTTCCAAAGCCGTCACTCGTGGGGGTATAGCGTCTCATCTTTCCTCCTTGAAAGGGTGAGTGGGTTTGCACAGCTGTGCTGAGACCACCTGGTTAGCACCCACTGTTGCCCCCACAGTGCCACCAGCACTCCCTATGGGTGTGCTCCATTTCATTCTTCAGCTGATGGATGCTGGAGTTGGCCTAATTTTTGGTTCTTAAGAATAGTGTGGTTATGAATATCTGTGTGCAGGTGGTAATTTCTCTACAGTAGAACTGGTGGGGTCTGATGGTTAGTCTCAAGCTGAATCTTTTGCGGAATTAACTAGTCTGTTTTCAAGAGGCCGTACAAGTTTATATTCCTATTAATTTGTGATGGCTCCTATCTTTCTGCAGCCTCACAGAAATCAACTACATTTTTCAAGTTTTATTTTAACCATTAGAGTATGGAAGTGGTATCTCTTTATAGTTTGGTCGGCATTTCCCTGAAAGCTAATGATGTTGAGTACTCTTTTATTTGTCAGTTTTTATCCTTTATGCTTTCTGTGGAGTATTTAGATTCCTAAAGATCTCTGAGTTGGGAAGGTGTGATTATTGTTAATTTTGGTATATTGATATATGAATTTACATATGAGGGGTACCCACCCCAAAATGGAATTTTTTTCAAAGCTATGACTTTAAATTTTTTGTTTGTTTGTTTGTTATTGTTGTTTTTTACTTTAAAATTTTTACAAAACAACCATGTCACTTTCAGAGTACTCTCCATTACACGTAATACGTTTTGTCAAATCTGCAATTCCATTCTTGGAAATTTTTCACTCATCTATTTGGATGGCTGACATACTCTCCCTTGATTCTTCACCTCTTCTGCATCCTCAAATTGATGTCCTTTGATGCCTCTCTGCATTCGAGGACACAGAAGTCACACAGAGTGAGGTCACCAAGAGAGGCATGCAGGTTTTTGCCCAAAACTGGCACACTGAGATGGCTGCGTGAGCAGGTGCATTGTCATGGTGGCAAAACCAGTCCCTTCGCTGCCACAAATCAGGCCTTTTTGTTGCACACCGTTACACAATCTTTTCAGAACCTCCAAATAGAAAGCTTGATTAACAGTCTGACCTGGTGGAACGAACTCCAAATATACTATCCTCCTCACATCAGTAAAACAAATGAGCATCCTCTTGAGTTTTGATTTCACTTGATGAGTTTTTTTTGGGGCGGAGGTGGGGGTGGGGTGGGGTGATGATGGTGTTTTCGATTGGCTTGCTTGATGTTTGCTTTCGAGTTTGTAAGATCAGCACCATGTCTCCTCGCCAGCCCGTAATGACCGTGGATTAAAAAGTCTGGGTCAAAACTTTGCAGTTTTTGGCATGCTTCCAGTCGGGCTCTCTGCTGGCCAGTCAGAACCCGAAGCACAGATTTCGCAGCAATCCTTCTCATTCCCAATCTTCTGTTCGAATTTGCTGAACTGAGCTCCAAGATAGTCCAGATACCTTCCCCATCTCTTCAATGGTCCGTTGGTCCTTGAGGACAAGTGCACAAGTTTTGTCACTATTTCGTCCATTTGGGAAGTTGACGAACCTCCAGAATGAGGTTTGTCATCAATCAACATTTCACCTTTTTTTGAAACAAGAAAACCATTTGTACACTTGAGTTTTCCCCATAGCGCTGTCCTTGTAAGCTGTGTTCAACATCACAGTTTCTGTGCTATTTTTCCCGAGCAGGAGACCAAATGTCACAGCCGCACACTCTTCTCTTAAATCAGCCATCTCAAAAAATAAGGTTCGAGTGAAACTGCTTTCACAAGAAAATTCATTGTGACGAGAGAGAACCTTCCCTGGCGGCACCACTGGATGCCCTAACTCAGAGCAAGTTGCTTTATGTTCATCTAGTGGGGGAAATGAGAGCTCCTTTCTGCTCTGCGCAATTGCAGGTTTTTTGGGGGTACCCTCGTATGACTCAACACATGAGCTTACCTTGTATATGTCAAATTGACTGTGACTCATAGCAGTCCTATAGAATAGCATGAATGCCTCATTGCAGTTCTAAGACAATCTTATGGAAGCAGACGGCCACATTTTAATCCATAGAAGTAGCTGGTGGTTCAAAATTCTGACATTTTGGTTAGACAAGTGCTTAACTAATGTGCTACCAAGGTTCTAAAATACAAATTTAGTGAGTCGTGGAATAGCAGAAGAGTGTTTAAGTCTGGATAGTGAGTAAGAATGGAAAATTAAACTGTATATTCAGGACATAACTAAGTACTGTAAAAGTTACCTGTATACTCAAAAGACTTGAAAGTGGGGACTGGTGTACTGGTACACAGTGTTCATTCTCACTGCATTAAAATAACTGAGAAGTAGAAACAAGTATATATTAATAGATGAGAATCTTAAATCTCTTGTGTGCCAGGTTATTTTGAGGTTAAATTTGGGTGCAATGAAATGTGTGGTCTTTGCCTTTTTTTACTTTCTCAGTAGGACCATGGGTCTAGTAGCCATGCTTGAATTTTAGAAAATATATTTTAAATTATGCACAGCTTGTCTATTCTGTATTGTATAAGATTTATGCATTTTAGATTAAGAATATTAAAAAAGAATATTTGATCATTTTATCACAGGGCAGTGATACAGTTTCAGTTATATATGTAATCGAAGTTTTTCCACCCCTTCTTCTTTTATAGTGCGTTTTTAGGCCCAAAAGATATATTTCCTTACTCGGAAAATAAGGAAAAATATGGCAAGCCAAATAAGCGAAAAGGTTTTAATGAAGGTTTATGGGAAATAGATAACAACCCAAAAGTGAAATTTTCAAGTCAGCAGGTGAGTTAATATTACTTAGAATGTTATTTAGCATGATTATTCAAATTTGTGAAACAATTACTATCCCATCATTTTTATGTGACATAATTTTCATGGAATATTTAATGTGACATAACAAAAATCACTATGATGCTCTTTTTCCTCAGCCTTGGTGTTGATAGTATTTACAAACTCTTCTGCCCAGTGTACTCCTGAATGATGTTTGGCGTTCTGTGTGGATGTCCCCTAACTCTTGCAGTTAAAGTAAAGAAACTAGCCAGGCTTTATAACAGAACCTATTTTCTCGTAGGAGCCTGGTAGCACACGTAGTGTTACGAGCTTGGCTGCTAACGGAAAGATAGGTAGTTTGACTTGAACTCACTGTCCTCTCAAAAGAAGGAAGATTTGGGGGCAGTCAGCTTCCCTAAAGCCTTGGAAACCCGATGGGGCAGTTCTGCCCTGATAGGAGTCTAAATCAACTCCAGGGCAACGGCAGCTATGTTGTAGTACCACAGAACAGTAAGAGGAGTTCTGCATGGGAATGTAATGGGGAGTTTTCTCTCTATTCAGTAAAAATCCTTTATTAGACTTTCAGCAAAGCCTGGGAAGAGCAAGCATAAATCTAAAGGCGCAGCGTAGGAATAAACCATGTTTACATTGTTCAGAGGGGTCATTCTTGTCATCTTTGAAAACTTGCCCGCTGCTGGTCAATCCAGGGCCCTTACCTCCTTGGGGCCCTTGACTGTGGTGGGTGGGCCAGGTGCCTTCATTACTTGTTTGTTGTGATACTGTGATACCACACTGATTGCTTCTCTACTTGTAACTGCCACATACTGTGAGCTCCTTAAGACAAAGCCCTCCTACCTACCTGCCAGGCTTTGCTATTTCCATGGGAAGAATTAAGTATTCACGAAACACCATTGAATGAAGAGAAGAATGGACAAAAGGTTTCCTGTCAATCTGACCTTGATTATAATGGTGACTGCTTTATATCCCAAAGCTTAACATTTTTTTTTCCACTTTTGTTATTGGCTTCATGATCTTTAAAAAAAAATTACCTTGCTAACTATTTCATCTCCAGGTAGTTTTCATTCTCTAACATTGTATTTTCCAGTAGATGGTGAAATTTTTGCTAGGTTATATGGATAACACCCAACAACTTTGTCTTTTACAAAGTATGGATGACTTTTTTTTTTAAGTGGGCATTCATAGGAGCTGAACAAAACAGCAGTCCCCAAACACGTGGGGGCTTCGGAAAGTTTGTGGAAAATCCATCATTCCCTTTTGCCTGAAGTTTTTGGAGTGAGCCCCCTTGTTACACAATCTATTAAATCACTTATGTTCTAAAAATTTTATTTTTTCTAAAAATTTTTTTACATGGTACTATGGATAATTTCATACACATTTATGTTAAATTTTATAATTTTGTGATTTATCAGTGCAGCTTTTTTTTTCTTTTTACCAGAGGGACTTGGTTTAGAATGTACAAGTTCTGGCTAAGGAAACAGCTAGAATGAAGAGGGGAAACAATTAGGATTAGAATTCTGTTTGTTGCCCCTTTCCCTAGTATCTGTGTTTGGTGTTAACACTGTTTCTCTTGTCAATGGTATTAGAAAATTAGAGCCCCTAGATCAGCTAGTGTTGTGTCTTTAATTCAGTGATAATAACTGGGCTCCCGCCTCATCCATACCTGCTAAACTACAACTGCTCATTTGTGGGCCTGAGGACTCGGCATATAAAATAGACTTCGGTTTGAGACGTAGCCTTATGAGACTTCTCCTTCACCAAGGGATTCCTATGTAGGAGAGCTCACTTTGCTGACGCTCCAGGAAGATACACTTCTCAGGTTACTTGATTCCTGGCACACAGGGTGTAGCTGCTGTTGGAATGCCCTCCCATTGTGTTCCTCGGTATTGGTTGATTCGAGCAACAGTATGGTATTCTATAGAATCGGTAATTCACCTCATTTTTCTGCCAGTGCACTGAAGTACGAGAAAAATCCTTAAGGTTTTTGTAAAGATAGTAAAAACATTTTAAACATTTACGAAATTGTGTGTTAAAACTGTCCAAGAGAAAATGAGGGGCTCTTATGTAGACAGAATTAAGTTTTCCATGGGGAGAAAAACTAAGGGTCAACCTTATTTTGTGACATTCAAAGACTTGATTGCTCACAGGCCTCAACGAAGCAGTCTACCGCATCATCTGATGTTGAAACTGAAGAAAAGGAAACGAGTCTCGTTTCCAAGGAAGATACTGACCAGGAAGAAAAGGGCAGCAATGAGGTGTGTTGAATCTCTCTTGCATTTTAAATTCATTTTGTTGCAAGGAAGACATTGTAAAGTGTACTGAATACGCCGGCAAAGGGAGAAAAGGAATCTTTAATTTACTTGGGTAACGACTGAGGGGGTGCTGAAGGCATAGTTCCTATGTCAAATAGAATTATAATTTCTGCATCTTTCCATTGTGTGGTTGTTTTAATATGAAGTTATCTTCCTGTGACAAGCCCCAGGGTCCGAATGGTCAGGGTTAATGAGAAGTGTGTGGGACGGAAGGTGCTGGAAAGTGCAGCCTCAGACTGTACGAGCTGGGTCGGTCTCCAGTTCTACCTGATTATCTTGGGAAACCGAAGTTAAGCGATCTCCAAAGCCCCAGCCACCTCTTGCCCCACAGCCCTAATGTTGAGGATTCCACCTTGGAATAAAATCACTTGTACATGTAAATAGAATAGCGTCCAGGCATTCTAGTCCCTTGGTATTTTTTTGTTTTGTTTTTGATCTGTTGTTTGACATGCATGGTTTACTTCTTTATAAAATGTGACCAGGTCTTTTGAATACTAAGATTTTTAATGTTTGTATTTGCAAAGGTTAGAGAAGCAAAAAAGAATTTCCCAGATCTTAAAGTGAAATATGGTTGTGACTTTTAGGTTAGGAAAATGTCCTTCAATACTGACAATTTTTCAGCTTCATCTGTATTTTTTAGGACATGACTAAAGAAATTGATGTAACTACTCCGAAAGCTGCCAGAAGAGGGAGAAAGAGAAAGGTACTGGCAACTGGGGGTCTTAAAATACTCTTTATTTAAATTGGATAGGGGACAAATACAAAAACATTTTTGAATTTTTTTTTCTTTTTTCTTAAAGGGAAGGTTGTATTGTTTACTTGCCCAAACTCTCTCTTGTTAGTGGTAGAGCTAGTTACCTGTAAGAGAAGTTGAATCGTAACTGGGGTAACATGCACAAGTTTTGATTCATTTTAATGAATGACTTAGATGTCTTTTTCTCTATACACTGGTTAACAGCATATAGTCCTGGGGTGGAGAGGATGAAATGAGTGAGCACATGCAAAACCTCAGAAGTGTCGATAGAGATGCTCCTGGGCTCTGTGGGCTCTGTGACAGCACGGATACCTGGTTCTCGGAATCAGAGCTCTGGGATCAGATTGGGGCCAGGCGCATGTGTGGTCTATAAATGGTCGGCATTTTACGGGAGTCTACTTTGAGCTGATGTTCAGGGAAAGTTTTGTAATGTTCTTTGAGAACAATTGAAGAGTTTTCTTAGATGAGGTTAGTGATCTTTAATTCTTTGCATATGCATTATTATGTCCCCATATAAAAGCAGTAGTGCTTTTTTAAAGTACCGAAAATGGATAAATTATTAGACCCAAAATTGCCATTTGATGTATGGTTTATTATTGTAGATATTCTTTCAGAAAGGTGGTGCCTACCAGTTCAAATTACTCAGCAGTCCTCGGGTATAAATGATTCTCCACGTCTTTACTCCACACTGAACCTTGTCCTTTAGTTGTTTGTGAATTAGTTGGTTTATTGTTATGTGCCCTCAAATCTTTACCTTGAAGGGTAGCAGAGTTAGCTGCCCCATTGGGGCTCCTAGTCGGAAATCTTTAAGAGAGCCACTGCTGGGTGGCTGTTGGTTTAACTGGAGACCTACTGGTTAGCAGACCAGTGCTTTAGTCAATGTGCTACCAGGGCTCCTTGAGATGACTTCCATTTTGTCAGTCAGGCTCCACCGGGCATATTTTTTGGGTGTTTTTAGTGCCTTTCACTTTATGAATACAAGTAACACTGATTGAACAGTGAGGTGGGGTGGGAAACAGCTGATTAAGGGTCCACCCATTCTTTATTCTAACATTTCTTGCCTCTTTTTGCTGTTGTTATGATTATTATCAACTGCCTCCATTTCTCTTCTAATTGACTCTTAACCTTTAATCTGTTTTAATACTTAGATCAATAATATTGATTCTCCCCCAGGGCCATTGTTGTTTCCGCAAAGTCCCACTAGAATTTCCAGGGGCTCTTTCCTCTCCATCAACAGGAAAGCCTCTTTAAGGAAAGTGGAACAACTCCAAGGACAGACAAGATTGGAGTCTCGATTCAAAAATAAAACTTGTGAAAACTGTGTGATCGAATTAGATATATCAGAGTGTCATCTATTGCCTAATCTAAAATGCGAATATTATCAGTAGGCCACGTGTTAGATTTTCAGGCATTCAATGAAAAAACATTTCCAAACGTGATAAGAGTTGGGGTGACTGTTGTCTGCCCTGTATTGCTTCGAGAACAGAGCCTTACTTTTCACAAATGGCCATTGCAGGTTAGAGTGGTAAGCCCAAGTTTGAGGAGGATGTTTGTGTTACACTACAACTCATTTATCCTAGAGTAGTTGTATTTCTTGCCATTGAGTAAGTTGGCAGGCCTCCTCGGTGCTAAGTGAGTGAAGGTTCTCTTTGTGGTCCAGGCAGAAAAGCAAGGAGAAACTGAGGAAAGTGCAGCAGTGACCCCAGCAGTAGCATCCGTTCATCTGAAAGCAAGTCCAAAACGAGGACGGCCTGCAGGTAGGTTTACGATGGGAAACCAGCGCATTTCCAAAGACTGGAGTGAAATGTGCAGGTAATCGAGTGTAACATTATGGTTGCTCCTCTGGATAACAAGATAATTTTATACATTTGAAGTAATTGTTTGGTCCTGTTTCATTTTCTGTCTTAGCCCTACTGGCTTTTCTTTCCATTAGAGGCAAAAGAGGCTGTGATTCCCTTGAATGAGTTCATTTGACCTTTTCACCTCTGAAGCTTAAAACAAAAACCAAACCCGCCAGAGGTTTCTCTGACCCATAGGGTTTTGAAGGCTTTGATTTTTTTTTTTTTAATATGAATAATCTGCCATCTTTGTCCTGTGGAGCAACTGGTGGGTTAGAACTGTGGATCCATACTTTACCCATTTCATCAGCAGAATCCCTAATGAGGCATCACCGAGTTAAAAGCAAAGCCACTGCCACTGACTTGCTTCTAACTCACAGTGATCCTATAGGACATAGTAGAGTGGTCCCAGAGGGTCTCTGTGCCGTATAAATCTCTATGAGAACAAAAAGCTTCACTTTTCCCACAGAGCAGTGGGTGGGTTCGGTTGCTGTCCATTTCGGTAGCATCTTAATGTGAAAGCCAATCCGCCACCAGGGTTCCTTTACCAGGTGTGTGCTTTCTGAGTGGCATCAATGCCCGAGAAATGGCATTTGACTTAATAAAGCTGTAAATAGTGAAAATGGTTGAATTTTTTTATATATAATAAACAGATAATTTTCTTCATTTCCTATTTAAGGTGTTTTCATAATTTAGCAATTGGAAATAGTTTAAAAGCGACTTTATGCATTACTCTCTAAAATATGCAAATGTCTATGTAGTACACTATAAGTCTTTTTTTTCCATAATAGTCTTAATATTGTTGATAGAGAATTTTGAATCTGTGAGATTTTCAGCTTAAAAGAAAGTTGGCATTTAACAGATTTTTTCCCCATGTGAACATTAGCTACAGAAGTCAAGATTCCAAAACCACGAGGCAGACCCAAAATGGTAAAACCGCCTTGCCCTTCAGAGAGTGACATGTGAGTTTATTCTTCATGTACATTTAGTAATGCATTAAATGAAACCTTTGATATTAGCATATTTTCTCTGCAATTTTATAGGAAACTTGTGGTTTTTACTTACTATATTTCTAATAGTTAAAGTATGTTGGGAAATAAAATAACAGGTAAGGGATTGAAAAGTCTCCTGATGCTAATTGCATTAATATTAAGATAGTTCTTCATTTATCCAGATGTAATAATTACATGAGAAATAGAAACAATTGCGTAAATAGCATATTCAGACATAATGTATTTGAGATAATTACCTTAAATCTTTTTCAGTTCCTCCACAATCACTTTTAAAGATAATTTTCAAAGTTTTGTGTTAAAATTTTTTAAAAATTTTATTGGGGCTCAATACAACTCTTATCACAATCCATACATACATCAATTGTGAAAAGCACTTAAACATTTGTTGCCCTCATATTAAAATTCGCTTTCCGCTTGGGTTCGTGGAATTCGTTTCCTTTTTCCCCTCCCCCTCCCTCCCTTCTCCCCCCTCCCTCATGAATGCTTAATAATTTATAAATTATTATTTTATCTTATCTTACACTGCCCGGCATCTCCCTTCACCCACCTTTCTGTTGCCCATCCCCCAGAGAGAGGAGGTTATATGTAGATTCTCCGTCTACTCCCCTTTCCCTCCCGGTATTGCCACTCTCACTGCTGGTCCTGAGGCGTTCATCTGTCCTAGATTCTCAGTGTTCCCAGTTCCCATCTGTACCGCTGTGCATACTCTGGTCTAACCAGGTTTGCAAGGCAGAATTGGGGTCATGGTAGTTGGGGGGAGGAAGCGTTTAAGAACTAGAGGAAGGTTGTGAGTTTCATTATTGCTACACTGAACCCTAAGTGACTCATCTCCTCCCCACTACCCCTCTGCAAGGTATGTCCAGTTGTCTACAGATGGGCATTGGGTCCCCATCACGTGCTACCCTCATTCACGATGAACACCCCCCCTTTTGGTGCTTGAAACCTGGTCCCTTCGGCCCTTCATGATCACACATGTTGGTGTGCTGCTTCCATGTGGGCTTTGTTGCTTCTGGGCTAGATGGCTGCTTGTTTACTTTCAAGCCTTTAAGTACCCAGGTGCTATAGGTCTCGATAGCCGGGCACCATTAGTCTTCTTCACGACACTTACTTATGCACACATTAGTCTTCAGCGTTTATGTGGGGAAGATTGTGTTAAAATTTTAAAATATGGAGAGGGGAGCGGGGAGTGAGGAGGGGAAAAATAAAAATGAGCTGACTCCAGGAACCCAAGCGGAAAGCGAATTTTGAGAAAGATGAAGGCAACAAATGTATAAGTGTGCTTTACACAATTGCTGTATGTATGGATTGTGATAAGAGTTGTATGAGCCCCAATAAAATGATTTAAAAATTTTTTTAAATATATTTTGCAGCAAAAACTATTTAATACCTTAAAAAGTAGAAAGTTCATGTCCCACCTGCCCCAAGTCCTTCTCCTTCTTTTATGGATCCTGTTTGATGTTTGTGGTATAAAGTTCACCAGGAAGGGAGTATATTTAAGCAAATATAACCAATCTCTACATAGTTAATGTGTTTATTTACATTTGGATTTTGAACGAAATGATTGTTTTTTTATGGGAAACTTTCAATTGGTTATAGAACACTATTGGAGATTTGGTACTGTTCAACCAAAACATATCTAAGGAGCCCCCCCCCCCCCCTTTTTTTTTTGAGCTTTATTTTTTTTTATGCCAAGGTGTAACTGTTGAATGTACACTAAAGAACAAAGTGACACTTAGCATGGTTTAACCATTGAGATGAAATTTAAGAAATTAGGGACTGTGCAAGTGAGTTGTTTCTGTTTTATAACATACCAAATGAATCTCATCCTTTTTAAAGATACAGGGAATCATGGATCATTGGCTAGAAGTATAGAATTTAAAAAGTCCTGAATGCCTTGATCATAATACTTTGAACTGAAACACAAAATACCATTAGTTCTTCCCCTTACTTTTACATGTACACATACATGCACGGATCTGAAATAGGGAACCCCATAGTAAGGACTCCCATGTGTAAACGAGATAAAAAGTACATAGTTGTTAGCAGAGACACAAAATCATCTCTGAAAAACTGTTCTCTATAAGGAATGTTTTCTTACTGGCCCCAGGAGCCCATGTGGTATAGTGACTTAAAGCCCTCACCCTCAACTCTTAACCCAAAGGTCTGTGGTCCAAGCCCACTTACCTTGTAGGTACAGGAAAGATGAGGCAGTCTACTTGAAGATTTATAACTGGCAACTCAAGACCAGTACTACTGTGGCCTTATAGGGTCACCATGACTCAGAATTGACCTGGCAGTGGATTTTAGGTTTTCTCCCAAGAAATAGCTTTCCAGTCCATTTCTGTTCTTGGACTTAATTATTAAGAGCTAACAAATTTATTTTTACATTTGAAAGGTTAATATTTTTCTGTCAATTTTAAAACATGTAATGGAATGTTAAAATTTTATTTGTGCCTTTTCTATCAATTTTAAAATGTCAGTGTAACGTAAAAATGATAACACATATACAATATGCATAACAATTTCCAGATAAAAAACATAGTTTCAACTAAAACTCAGTGTTGGTGGAACACTTGTCGGTGGTCACTGGATTTGGAATTGAGATATCAGACTTGATTTTACTTGATGCACCATTGTTTTCTCAGGTGTCAGATGGAAGGTATTGATCTGAAGGTCTTTCCTGGCTTTAAACTCAATGAGTAAATTATATAAGCTATGTAAACCTCTGAAATTCCTTGTTCAGTCAGAAAGGTGGTATTTTAAACAACTTTGTCCATTCTTCAGGTGGTTGTTTTACTTGACCTGAAGTAATATTTCTATTTGAAAAGTTCCCTGTGGTCAGGATGGGGCTAAGAGACAAAAGACAGAACCATGAGGCGCATCTCCGCTGTGTAGGTGCCCCAGGGTCATGGAGCACGTTTACTACCTGGCTTGTGTTAGTGCGGTCTGTGAACACCCAGTTGTGATGGGAACTCTCCGCGAGCTCTGTACTGTGCTTATTAATTAGAAGTACATGTTATCATTATGGAAATTTTAGTGACTACTAGCATACAAATCGCTCTAAAATTACCATATTCAGTTACATTTCTATAATTGTATGTTTTTCCAGCATGTACTTTTAAAATGAAAACATCACTTGTTTATAAAAATCATTTAAGAGTCAGGAGTCTTGCCCCTATTACTTAATGATATATCTCTGAAGTTACAGTGCTTTGGCTAGACCGGACCATAAGATGATGGATGGATGGATGGATGACGTTTCAATAAACTTGGAAATTAAGATAATCACTTTGTTTCTATAATGCTACTTCAGTTTGTTTGTTCTTTTCCCTTTCAAGTTTATACAAAATTCAGACGAATTTGTTTTACAGATGGGTAGAAAAGACAAAATTTGCCTTTACACAAAAACTGAATAACTTACTGCTACTCAAAATATGTAGGTGGAATGAAAGGAATTATATGCTTGAATGGCAAATAGTGATAATACAGAAAAGCTCATTTTCTATTATTACACTCTAAAATTAGGGGAACCGAAGAAGAGAAAAGTAAGAAAAAGGGGCACGAGGAGAAACAACCTAAAAAGCAGCTGAAAAAGGAAGAAGAGGGCCAAAAGGAAGAAGATAAACCAAGAAAAGAGCCAGACAAGAAAGAAGGGAAGAAAGAAGTAGAATCAAAGCGGAAAAATGTACCCAAAGCAGGGGTTGCATCCACTTCTGATTCTGAAGAAGAAGGAGATGATCAAGAAGGGGAAAAGGTAGAAAGCTTACGTGCTAAATAAAGTATTCCCTTTGTAAATCTCTGATGCATTTCTTCATCTATTGTATGCTTAGTCACTTTCACACTCTGGTAAAGTCTAACTATCCATGAAGATCGATCATGTGTCCTGTTTTCCAAAGGGCCTTTGCATGGGTTTGAATCATCCACTTTTGGATTGGTCTTCAAATGCATAAACTATTTCCACCACTCACGAGCTTCAAGTAACTTTGGATGTTAACCTGAATTAATTCAACAGCATAGTTGAGATGTATTATATTATACTTTCTAAATGTCTTTTTGAAATATTGATATGGATGTGTTTTATATTACATGTTTTAAAGTCAAAATAGAGATTATGCCCACTAGGTGGTGACCACTAAAGACAAAGATACATGCTGTGGTTTTATGCCAAAACCAGTGTTAGCACCCCTCAGGAAATTTGTTTCCTGTTTACTTTTAAATGCATGAGTGCAGTGCTTGTGGGAAATGCAATATGCAGGTTCATAGCCCAAAGAAACACTTCCCACTCTTGAAGCCTTCTTGCTGTCTGATCAGCAGTACTTATTGAGTACAACAGATGAGAATCTCATTAGCAACTATACATATCCTTTTCTTTCTGTAAGTAACTATGTTTTGTTCATTTGTATCTGATGTTGTAATATCTTAGAAGCAAAGAACTTTTAAATGGGCAGCTTGAGGGAGGGAGGCTTGCGCCTACCAGTAATGAAGACTCAAGGCAGAATGATGCTGTGGAAATAATTATGCTGACATATTTAATTTTGATCAGGGGGCTTTTAAAATAGGACAGAAATAGAGATGTGGGTAATTGAATGTTTGTTTTTTTTCAGTATTTTGTTTCTGTATAAAACTTTAGTTGCTTTTTTTTCTCCCTTGATTGTATTTGTGTACACGCGAATCCCTCACGCCATCCTAACTCTCAAATGAACAGAAGAGAAAAGGTGGTCGGAGCTTTCAGACTGCTCCCAGGAGGAACGTGCTCAAAGGGCAGCATGAGAAGGAAGCGACAGAGCGGAAACGCAAGCAGGAGGAGCCAGTGGAGACTGAGCAGTAAGTAGTTCTTTGCTTTACTTCTTGACTTCTTTATAAAGCTAGCGTAAAAATTTTCAACACTAGAAGGCTCACTATTTAGACTTTGATATTTGAAGCCTTTTAAACAGAAATGACTTTATCCCACGTTAGTGGGATTCTCAGTATATGATGCTATTCCTGTTTCATTCTTTTCTGCGAGGATGAGAACCCCTGAGGTAATTACCATAGGAATGATTTCTTAATTTAAATGAACACCCGAATGGAAGTTATAAGTGGCTCTGCAGAAACTACTCATGCTCTCCTGACAGTATACTAATACAGAACGATGATGATACATTGGTGGAGAAAAAATGCAAGCATAAGCTTCCTCAGGGTACCACCAGTTTCCTCAGTGGGAAACCCAGGACGTCAGTAAAAGTCCATCCGAAGGCGGAGTGGGTTCTCATTGGAAGAGGACCCCCAAGTGTGGTGTTGAGAGAACCAAGAGCATCTGCTCACCATAGGGAGTTTCGTTCCCTTTTCTGTTGATTCTGAACGTTTTATTAGAAGAAGGAAATCTTCTAATTACCAGTGGTAATGATTAGACTTCATGATTCTAGTTAGTTTCCTTAGCTCATCTTTAAACTGCCACTTCTGAGTTCTTTTCTCTGAAAAGCTTTTTCTTTGTGAAGTCCTTCTCTGCTGACTGAACTTGTGCTGTTTTAGTAAGGATGTGCCTCAAAATATGCTCCAGGTCACTAAGACAACTATTAAGTAACTGTACTATCTTTTTATAATACATCCTTACACCTGAAGTCTTGCTCAAGTCTAGAATTTGGTTATCTGCTCTCTTGCTTGGAGGAGGATATATAAGCAGTTTCATCTGCTTGAAGGGAGTAAATTAAATATCGAAAGGCCAAAATGTTACTCCCTTTAATCTGTCAGTCAGTAGCCACTTAATGTGAATTTTGCTATATTTTTGGTGACCTCCCTTCTAGCTATCATTTTACTGAAAACATGTTGGACTCGTTGCTTTAAGCGTACTGTGCCCCAAAATTAATGATATAAAATTCGATGTTACTAAGTAAATCTAGCCCAAATCTCCTTCATTATCATTATTTTTATGTATTTCAGTTTCTTTTTGAATGTCCTCCGAATGTAACTTTCTCAAATTCTAATATTTGTGTTTTCTCTCCTTCTCCTGTTATTACAAAACTTTGTACTTGGACAGTTTTGCTCTGTAAAGCATTTCAAATGCAGCTTGTATGAAATGCATTATGCAAAATAAAGTTTATTGTATTGTATTCCCAGCCAAACAACATGTAATCTACAGTAATAAAAAATATATCTCATTTTGGGCTCAAAGCATTAATCCAGTTACTGAAAAGAGAATACAAGTGGAGCAAACAAGAGATGAAGATCTTGAGACAGACTGATTGGACTGAATTTCCCCCTCCCCTTGATGGAAGAATGTTCCAGACTCTAAATTGAGGACTTCATTATTATTTGCATTATTACTGTGTTATGATTGTTTTAAAAAAATTACTGTAAGGTACACACTACGTACTAAGGTCAGCCATCATTCCTGTTACAGTTATTAGCAAGCTTAAAAACGAAGCTTTGTGTATTTTGAGTTATAACCAGCTCAGCTGAAGGTGGTGGTTGTGCATATAATTTCATTTATAAAATATAAACCTACATTTTGTTTTGAAGCTAGGTATTAAACTTGGAGTAGCTATACACCCCTGAGAAATGGGCACTGTGCCCTCACCCTGACCTTCCTTTGTTGTTAATTCCTTAAAATCTTGTTTTTTCTTCTTAATCCTGAGAGATTAAACAGTAGACTTGTTAAGAAACAAAAAAATGAAACTGTAACCAAAATTTTAAAATAAAGTTTTTTTTTAACAAAAAAACTTGATTAGATATTTTTTGTTCTTGTCTATTTTAATTGGTTCATATATGGCCCCACTCCAAACCGAGGTTCAAGAAATTGTAAATTTTTAAGAGGTTATTTTTATGGTTTATAGAAAGTTGGTGCCGTTGCATCTATGAAATAGTATATACATGTTGAGTTAAATTAGCAAACTATTTTAATGATAGTTATCTTGAAACTTAACGTGAAACTCCTTAAATGATCTACTCTTTGGAGATTGTTTGGATTATCCTTTTTTATCATTTCTGCTCAGACTCCCTGGCATTACGTAACGCTGGCATTCTCTTCCCCCATTCCCGTGTGTCCACTGAACTGATATTTCTAACACACTATACTCTTCATGTTGGAAATAAAATCTGACCACGAGCAATTCAAAATGACTGTGATGTTAAGCTGCAATTTTACCACGTTCTTTTACTTGAGTTTTTCTCCATTTTTATTAATGATGTGTACTACAGTGTTCCCATTAGTCAATTCTTTTGTGTTCTAGAGTATTAAGAAAAAAATTTTTAATATACATAGTAATTGTGCATTTGGTGAACAGTCGGCAAAGTCCAGTGTTTTGAAATATTTGTGTTAACATTTGATAGGCAGAATAAAGATGAAGGAAAGAAGCCAGAAGTTAAGAAAGTGGAGAAGAAGCGAGGTTAGTTACTTTACTTTGTAAGATGTGTAAAGCTAGAATAGTTACACCACCACTGATACTTTATGATTTTGGAATCTTTTACATCCTGAACACTTGTTTTTCTTCGTCAAATCCCTGTGGCGGTACAACTGAATTCAAGAACCATAATCAGGTGAACTTGATAGGTAGTTTTCATTAAAGTCTGGATATTTTCTGCTCATACATCTCACACATCTGATTTCTTAAAGAGAGATTCTAATTTTAGTTAAATACTTTTTCCTGAACAAATGAAGGGGCGAAGAACTCACTTTATTTTAAAAACAAATATAGCAGGGGATTTTATGATTATAATGATGCATACGTTATAAATATCAAGCATGAACACTAACTCGGCCTCCTTTAGTGATGGAAGCTATCGTTCCACGAACATTTCTTAGAAAAGATTGCTGAGACTTTTTAAACAGACATCTAGTTCTGTTCAGCATACTTTTCTTATAGTGTGCTGATTATGTAAGAATGTGCTCTATATTCCAGATTGCAGAATATATACTACCGTATATAGTCGTGTATCAGCCGCATTTTCCAGCCCATTTTTATGTGGTTTTTGTGGTAAAATTAGGTGCCTTGGCTGATAATTTGGGTCAGCTCATACTTTATATATGGTACATTCATATTAGATTATAGAAGAATACCTGTATTGGAAAACTATTCATTGTCTTCCACATATTTTAATTTATAGAAACATCAATGGATTCTCGGCTTCAAAGGATACATGCTGAAATTAAAAATTCACTCAAAATTGATAATCTCGTAAGTGATGCCTCATTCAAAAATACGGTGCTGCTTTCATAGCTTATTCTCTCCTCCAATGATTTTATACTTAAGTGTGTATAAAGATGAACAGGGAGAGTTACTAGTTATTTTGTAACACCTTTTAATATTCAAGATTTATCTTCAATAACATATCACAATAATTAACCTGTGAATTGTTTTAACCTGAAGGACGTGGACAGATGTATTGAGGCCTTGGATGAACTTGCTTCACTTCAGGTCACGATGCAACAAGCTCAGAAACACACAGAGATGATTACAACACTGAAAAAAGTAAGTGAGCTCAAGTGTTGTTTAAAAAGCTTCCTCTTAAATTCATGACAGTCCTTTGGAAATGGATAGTGATGAATGTAATGTCACTGAAGTGTTTGGGTAGAAACGGTTGAGGAGGAAATATTTTGTCATACACATTAGCACAATATTTTAAAATTGGCACAATTAAAGAAATCATGCCCATTAAATTTACCTTGGTTTTTCTGCCCCAGGATGATTACTTACCTTGGATCCTTATCTGACAAGTTGTTGGTGCTTTTATGGAGCTTTCGCCTGACCTGTAGCTAAACTTGACCCACTGGACTATCATAGCCATGTTTGGTCTAGCACTGAGTTCTAAAGATGAAAGGGTTCACAGGGGATCTGAAACCCCCCTTGATACTGCAACTGCTAGTTTTTAAAAGGAAAATTGGAAATAATTACAAGTATTTTTTTCCTCCTCAGATACGGCGATTCAAAGTTAGTCAGGTTATCATGGAAAAGTCTACAATGTTGTACAACAAGTTTAAGAATATGTTTTTGGTGGGTGAAGGAGACTCTGTGATCACACAAGTGCTGAATAAATCTCTTGCTGAACAAAAACAGCATGAGGAAGCAAATAAAACCAAAGATCAAGGAAAGAAAGGGCCAAACAAAAAGATAGAAAAGGAGCACACAGGTAAGTGGTGGTCATGTGAGGCCTGGTTTCTGGGCCTGCCTTGAAAGAGGGTGGCCCTCAACGAGCACAAGCCTGCTTTCCTAACAACCCTTATCACTGTTACGTTTCCTTATGCAACCCCACTCCCAACACCAGTGAAGTAACAGTCGTTCTGAATTTCTAACCAGATAAGCCCATTGCCATTGGATAGATTCTGACCTGGAGTGCTTTCAACACTCAGTCTTTAGGTTAGTCAAGCACAGCTTATTTATAACTCCTTCAGAGACAACTAACCCTCATGGCCAGAGGAAAAACTTCTGTTGCACTAATGTTTTCCCTTAGTGGAAGGTGTGCTACATGACTGAAGAGAGTGTGTTTGTGTGTCCTTGCCCTTCTGAGAGTAGGGCTGGTGGTCTATGTTCTGGGACTGAAACAAGGGATAACTCAAGGCAATTTCCTGGGAAAAGAGACAAAATAACCATTTGCGTCTCATTCCTGTTTCTGCTTTATTCTGTGGTATAATACTGTTCTGTAGTGTTAAAGGGGACATTAGCTTCCCAATAACCTTGAGCCACACCCTGGCCCATAGCAGGACATACCATATATACTCGTGTATGAGCAGCGTTTTTTAGCACATTTGTAATGGTAAAATTAGGTGCCTCGGCTGACATTCAGGTTTGCTTATACTCGAGTATATACGCTACATGTCCATCCCACGGGGTCTCACGGTTATAGTACCTTTGTATCAGTCCAGGCCCCGTTTTATATTAATTAAATTTATTTAGTAGCTACTTAATCCAGAAACTAACACCGAAAGGCAATTAAAATTTTTACTCCAATTAGGGCAGGAACAATCAGTTGACAGAGTAAGCCTTATAGGAAAACCCTCATCGTGGGGCACAAGATTGTGCCAAATAGGAGAAACTCTACTTTTAACACTTTCTCAGTGCTAACACAGAAAAGATTACCATTGAGTTGTTTGAAATCTAGCTTACATATGTGATTGAAAGTTTTCCCACCCCTGCAGTCTTGCTGACAGTAGTAATTAACACTAGAGATTGAAGTCTTGATCTGACTTGTTGCTCACGGGGCTACATCAAGAATTTGGGTGGTGTCTAGATTTTACAAGACAGCTTTTTAAGAGTATTTTTATTTTTGAAGTACCAGAGCCTTAAATCCTGAAATCATGACTGAATTACTGTAGCCTCAAATAAAGTCCATGTGAAGTATTCGTAACCTGAAGGCCATGCTCTTTCACTGTGGATCTTTAGAAGACCTCTGGCAGTGTGCGCTCTAACTGTGTCTCCTTGTCATCCTTTGGAAGGTTCCAAGACAGTAAATGGAGGCTCGGATGCACAGGACAGTGGGCAGCCCCAGCACAATGGTGATAGCAGTGAAGAAAGCAAAGACCAGCACGAAGCCAGCGCTAAGAAAAAGTAAAGACATGTTTTGTTTTCTTGTGGTTTCCTTAGATTTTCTCTAAGGTTATTTGTGTTTTTACTTGATTCCTTACTTCAATTACAAGTCAGAAAGGCTCAAAAAGTTCAAATTTTGACTTGCTAATTTGCTCACTGTATTCAAGGAAATGAAGCTGCAAGAGAAAACAAATGGTTCTACCCTGTGCCTTCTTTAATGAGGATGGTGGGTTTTCAGCAGCGAGAACGCTAGGAGCTTGTTCTCATTGTGCACCTGGCCCACGGTGAACCGCTTTACCAGCGTAGCTTCCCCTAGTGTTGACCCCTAAGCACCCTGAAGAGCTAGGGCTCTTTCCGAGCCTCCTCTTCTATAAGTTAGTGCTTTTAGATGTGACATTGTCATGTTCTGAGAATCCACTTTAAAGCTAGAAATCTTTTTTCATCTATTTTTATAGTGATTGAGTGGACACAGTGCCTGCCGTTCCTTTCCCTTGAGAAAATAAAACCCCTAACCCTCCTCGCCACACCCTTCTCTGTCCTCCAGGACGTCTCGCGAAGAGAGAGAGGAGAGCTATCTGTGAGCGTCCACACTGGGAGCTAGGCGGGAGCACGTGGACCACAGGAACTTGAGACGTTTGTAATGGTTTTCATGGGGAATTATTTAGACTGCTGAGAAATGAAAGTTTTAAATTTTTATACGCATAGGTTTTGGTGTGAAAAACTTGTTTTGGGAGGACAAAATCCCATTATCTTTGTTTGAAATTAAAACATTATTGCTAATTATACTATTTGTGCAGTATTAACAGCTATAATAAAGAGAAAGTGTGGGTGGTAGAGGGGAATCCATTTAGAAACCATGAAGCTGCTTTTCCAGACAGGAAGGTTGTAGCATATTTTCACTTAGTGTGTAAGTTAATGTGTAATTGATAGTAAAGTTACATTTTTAAAAGCGATACTTGTATACCTCCCCCCCACCGCCCTATACTGTAGGTTTTTGTGCAGTTTTTTACATGTCAGATTTCCCAGATTTTCTCCTCACTGTTCCTGGGTTCTGTAGAACTTGAGCATTTTTATGGTAGCTGAAGTGTTACTTCTCTGTAAGTACTCACTCCCTCCTTTTATCAAAAGGTCATTTTAATCTTAGTCTGCATTGTGCTACACTATACTGCTTCTTTGTCACAATGTGTGTGATCTGTATACCTTTTTGTATTTTGTAAGGTACACAACTCATGTTAATTTTTGAATATAACTTAGTTTTGTGGCTGGGAATTCAGTGAGCTCTCGTGACTCGTCCAGCAAAGAGCAGAGTGGGCATGTACTGGAATGAATAACTATTAACCATTTTCCTTGTAATCAACCACGTCAGATCCTTTATACATACTAGTAGCTAAAATTGAAAACTAAATGATAAAAGTTTATTTTTGAGGACTGTCTCAAGCTTATTTTTTAAGGTCACTCATTGAGGAATTCACTGAAAAAGTTGTTTTTTTTAATTGGAAATCAATGTCTAATGCTTATGCAATAAAAATACTATATAAAAATCTAACCTATTTGGAAACATGACTTTAGAAGATAGTTTTTATGTTCATTTTTATCATGTATGACAGGGGTTACAAAGAGTGCACACCACACACACACAGGGCACAGATTGCTTGAGGCAGTTGACGGTGACTTGGTACTTATACTCATTGAGCTAAGTCAGGTCCAGCTAACGTTAACATTCAGTTTAAAGCGGCATTTAACTAGAGGCTGTTAGCGTTCTATTTTGACTATTTCAGTTAGAGGGTTGTTTCAACAGCTTAAAAGGCACTTCACACATTTTCTAAGAGTATCGTGGGGAAATGGGGTTAAGAGTTAGAATGGTAACTCTGGTTTATAAGTGGTTGGTAAGCACTGTATATTTTAAACTCATGGATAATTGTTTTGTCTATGGATGAAAAGTTTGAATCTTCAATCATTGGGATTTTACATTCAAATAGTCTTATAATGAAAAGAGGGCCTGTTTGATGGAGCTCTGCTATATTAGATATATTTGGATTTGGACAGATTTGTTCTAGTTAAGCCATAAGTGTCAATGTGTAAACTTGTTTTGATTAAAAATGTTTTTATTAAACTTCTAGTAAATGTTTGTTTGCTACTTCTAAAAGAAAGAGATGGATTGTGGATGTGCTCCTGAGAAAATACATGAGGGGGACTTCAAAATCTTGACAGGAAAACCCAGCTCTCTTTAATTTCTAGTGAACTGTCATGTTAGCCATCCAGGCATGGTGGAGACAGGGTAACTAAAAACTAAGTTCAAAATAAAAAGATATCTCATTTGTCCACCCTCCCTCCTTTTTCTTGTGACTCAGCAAATTGGCAGTTTTCCTAAGGAGCTACAGAATATTCAATCCAGAACTGAGAATTAATAATCATATTTGTGTCCGTTAGGTTCCCAAACTTACTTGGCCTATGGTCCCCTTTTCAGGAGTGTGTTGGGGTGGGTGAGGGAAGGGAAATTCACCCAGTAACACAACCCATTCCTGCTCCCAAGCCCCCCTGGCAAGGCAATTAAGACTTTTTGTACGATAGCCCCCACAGTCCAGGGTATAGTGCTGTTATTTGCTTTTGCCACCAACCACACCCCTATGTATATTATAAAACAGTGGTTTGGCTACCACTAGCTTACATAATTCAGTTAATTTTCGTGAAGACCCAGCAGAGTTGCTGAAGATTATTCTCACCTGTTTGTAATCACATCTGAACCAGAGAACCTAATTGGGACGTTCATAGATACAGTAACTTAAACATCCTAACAACTGCTCTATAGTTTTAGATAGTATAGATTCTACCCAGTTTGGGCTGATGATGGTTAAGTGGTGTACTACTCAATGTGGGAATATCCACATGCACTCACTTACCTGGGACAAGTGTAGGCCAAGATGAGATCTGCCATCTTAGACTTGTGACGAAAGCAAAGGCTTTATAGGGACTCTATAAAAGATTGGGCAGAGAAAAAATGATCTATTGGAAATAGCAAATCCAGATTGAGCCCTCAAGAAATGAAACGGATAAAGGCAGAAATGTGCTTAACTTTATGCTGTGTGATCAACTGCTTCTTCTAATCACTAGATGAAGCCATGTCTAGTTTCCTTTTCGAAAGTGGAATTGCTCTTACCATATCATAAAGAAGCATGAAAATAAAGCATCTTTTCAGGAAAGATGTTGGAGGGAGGGCCCTTAAAACCCATTTCCTCTCTCCATGTCTCAAGGAAGCATGACTGATGAACAACTACAGCGATCAGCCAGCAGGGTAGTAGTGTTCTCAACTGAATGAAACAAAAATAGATGGAAACTTAAATCTATGGTTCTTTCAGTGTGCTCAGTGATCACGTTCGGATATACAGGAGAATAAAACTTTATACACAGCACAAGCCAGCTTGTTGGTGTACTTGATTGCATCCCTGAATGAGACCCCACGTAACAGACCAGAAACAGGTGCGTCCCTCTCCAAACAGTGGATGTGTGGTGTGGAGTCCATCAAGCCTGTGTCACTGTCAAGTCTGCACCACTGGGTCTGTGAGTATGTGAACCTCATGGGTTTTCAAATTTATGTTAAAAGTCTTACTCATCCAGGGGAATGGGCAATTTGGTTGAATTTAACTACAACCTAAAAGAGAAAAGATGAGAGAAAAACATGACACATTTAAATTGAATTTATGCCACTTTACAATTTTAATAAATTCTCCACCCTCAAACAGTAAAGATTTCCAGAAGATATTTTAAATAGGGTTAGCTATAATTTTCTGATACTGAATTCAAATTCGGGTGTGTGTGTGTGTGTCATTTTTTGGATCAGACTGACTTACTACTAGGATTATTGGTTAAAGGGATTATAAAATGATTTAAGAAATCAGAGCCCCCAAAAAACCGATTTGGGGGCTGGCAGAATTGGGTGCTTCGGTTTGAGAAGCCTGAGCTAGCTCACCCACAAGTCTTGATTACTCTGGTCCCACTCATCCTGCATAAATTACAGGATTGTTTAATTTTTTAATCATCATAACTAAATTGTCATACACTTAAAGCTGGTGTGATTAAATTATTTCTTACAAAGAAATGAAGTTCCAATTTACACATTACTTCTTTGAGGGCATCTGATCTGTCAAGATCATATACTTGTTTTGCTTAGGAACTCTGAAGTGTGTTAAATGTCACCAACACCTGTTTTTCATCCAAACACCCCTTAATATTAAGAGCAGTCCACTCTATGATTAATTTACAGCACGGTTCTTGCTTGTTTAAAATTTACTCGGTGTTTAACTTCTCAGTTCATTGTATGTATTTGAAGGATCTGTACCTTGGAAGCTTCTTGGTAGGCAGCTCTCACATTCTTCAAAGACTCAAAACACTTCAACTACTTGGTGAGTCCTATCATTAGCAAAATGCAGTCCAGACAGAATTAGAATGAACAGGCAGGCCAGGCTGGGCGAGAAGAATCAGTACATACGTCTGACAGAGACTTGTACTCCAGAATACAGAAGACACATTTCTGCCTTGTTAATGACACATACAGCCCACTTAAAAATGGGCAAAAAGCATTCTGAGTTTAAAGTGCACTTTAATAAATACTATATCCTTTTTCTAAGCATGAAATACAATCAAAGTTATGTCATTTAGAAAACCAGTAGCAGGACTTTATAGTTTTTGTAATGAAAGCAGTTGGTTCAGGAGGTAGATCCTTTTCTTCAGTGGCATTTCTTGGAAATAATTGTCCAAGAGGACGTTTTTATTCTATCAATTAAAAGTTCCTGGGTCAACATAAGGATAAGCCAGGAATTCTCCCAGCTTGTTGCCTTCTGAATCATAGTGGAGCATTCGGAAGCAAACATCACAAAAGAAACATGGGTCCTCTGGTGCAAAACTGTCATTGTTTGTCACCCACCTAGTTTTAAAAAAAAGATAGACATCAGTACAGTCAAGTGTTTCATGATGTTAGCACCCTCTATTGGTCTGTAGCTCCAACTTCCCCACAGTTTCCTTGGTCTACCTTCATGCTACCCAGAGGCAAGGCAAAATCGTTCCCGTTCAATACTGCCGAGGGTGGTTTCTCTAAAAGACTTAAGAGCAACTACAGGAAGATCTGTACTTCAAAGCAAAGTCCCCGTGTTGCCTGCTTCTCACAGGCCATCTTGAAAAAGCGTAACAAGCCCCTGGTGTTCTTTGCTGAGCTTTCTCACTGGCAGATCAGTGCTGCTTAAACTGAAAATGCCAGCTGTTGAACGTGGAAATGTTCCAAATGGAAGGGCGGCCACAGGATTCCGTCGACAAGTTGTGGACTCTGGATGCCGGGACTGGTCACAGTAAGAAGAAACCACTACTTCTCAGTCTGACTTCTGCCTCTCGAGGAACCTGACCAGCTGACTCTAAAACGGCCTGATTTCCATGACCTGATTAGCCAGGCTTTTCTGTGAATCAATTAGAAAAGCACTTCAAGGTGCAGAAGTCACAACAAACCAATGACAAGAAATTCAACCCTACTTCTCTGACCCTGCTCCCCCGTAAGAAAGACTTTTTTAAAAAAATGTACTTGATTCTGCAGTATAAAGAATTCTCAAGAAGAGATGTTTTTTTAATGTGGGAACTTAGGATTTGAAAAGGATAACCAAATGTGTAAAATGCTAGAAGGCCCCAAATGTTTTACAGTTGATTGTGATGATGGGTGTACAACTGTATGAACATGCGGGGAGGTGGTAGGGGGTGGGGGGTAATGAATTGTACACCATAAATGGGTAAACAGTATGTCTGGCACGTGAATCATCTTAAAGTGGTTTAAAACAAAACTTTAAGAAACTAAATGTGATCTGGTTACATGTACAGTACTGTATGTTGTCACTGAGAGGATGATGTGCAGTGAAGATGGTTTTGTAAACACCGAAGAGGCAGCAAGGGCCGGGCTCCAGTGGCACCAGTAAGCTGGTGACAGCCCTAAAGCAGCCATCCGGGGACCTTGTGCTGTATGTGCAATAACCATGTAGACGGATTCTGCTGTAGCTCCGTTAACTAGTTACACTGCAGACTACAAACTCTCAGACCCCCCCAAGTAGGAAGAAACTCAAATGCTAAACATGCAACGGACCTCACTGTTGAAAAACAGGGCCTCTGGAATTAGGAAAGTCTCCATTACCTGGCAGTGTACATCTTACAAACAAAACATTTCCGAGTCCACAGCCAGTGCTTCTTGGTAAGAAGGGGGTAGAGTGTCCTATCCAAGCAGTCGTCATGATGCACAAGTCTTTCGCACAGGAGGAAAGAAATGAAGACAGTACATGCCATTTGAGTGATTTGTAAACAAGAACCGCGGCATCAACATTGGGAGTACCACTGTGTGTTTCTTCAAGGTTGTGTTTCACAGACATTTTAGTAAGCCCATCTGTTGCTTTGGGAATAAGCATACCTACAAAATGTTTTCTCGAAAAAGAAAAAAAAGCATTTGGGGCTCAAGTCTCCTTTGAGGCTTTCCCAGACCCCTTTCTGGCAATGTGAGCTGTGATTCTAGGAGTATATGTTAAATTTAGAATTTCTTGAACAGAGGTGTGCAAACCCAAATATCACACTGAAGAAGTGACTATCTACCCAGTCTCCATCTAAGTAAGCCTATGCACTTCTCTCTAATCCTACTCTGCCGAGGGCTGGACTCTCGGTTTGCACGGCAGAACAGCAGCTTGGGCAGGCACCCTTGAGGAAATTTGATTGTATTCCCTTTAAATGTTCTGTGAAGTCAGAAGGGGCAAGAGAAGGGCTGATGGGTAGATGGGTAAGGTTTCCCAAGGAAGTCCTTTGTAGGACAGCCCTGGCACCCACAGGGAACCCTGTCGTGATGTAAACACTTCGTTGGGACAACTTTCTTGGTGGCACCTTCCCCACCAATGCATCTTCCATGTCCTTCCTGGTTGAGTGTGAGCGAACTTCCTGTTTCCTTTGGGAAAATCTATCAAGATCACATCCATCCCCCACGGGATCCAAGACAGTCACCATAACCTGAGCTAAAATCTCTGCCCGGCAGATAACTTGCTTTCATTTATTTTAAGGCACTGTGATGAAATGAAGACAAAACTTGTTTGTCTCCAGCTGCCTTCTAATCAAGAGAGACATTTAAGCACATTTTGTTTGGAATAGACCAATAAGTGCATGGACTGCTAGCCCAGTAGCAATACTTTTTGACTCAGTAATCATGCACTTGGGATTTTGCCCAACACTCAGTACCTTGTAATGCAACTTGGTTTTAGAAAGTTGCTTGGTACCAGTTTACCTAGAGTAGTAGTATTTGGTACAGTATGATTTTTAAAAAATTGTTATTGTCATAAATCTGGTTCCTAGTAGAGAGGATAAATGTGTAGGACTTTTAAACCTTAGCTATGAGAATCGTGAAGTATTAAGAAAGTGGAAAATGATTTTAAAAAAAAAGTGGAAATGGAATCAAGTTTTCACTCTGCTCTAATGAGCTGCATGGCTTGTGGTTATTTTGTAAACCCTTCAACAGCCTGGACCTTTGTGCCTCACTTTGAAAACTGAAGACACTGCACATAGGATTTCCCTGGAGGGTCATAAAATATGGTGGTTAATTTTGTTTTTAATAAGAAAAAGGTAGCATCACCCTCACCATAAGAAAATGGTTCAAGGACTAAACTTTGGGCAGTTAGTGCATGGAGTGGCTCATTCCATCTGCCCACAGGACAATGATCTGTAGTCTACCTGATACCGAACTTTTTAACAGATGGTAAATGGTTTCTATTTCAGCAGTGGAAGAGATCATGGTTTCTTTGGCTTAATGTTTGCCTTGGGTTTCAATGCCACTTTTGGCTTTTTGGTCTCAGATTGACACTGAGCACAAGAAAGAAGGAAACCAAGATGGCCAGAAAACAGTGGGCTGCCTCCCACTGCATGCTGGTTCTCGGTGACAGCTCCCCTCCCTCATCTGAATGGAAGAGCAGGCAAAACTGCCCACCTAAAGTTACACAGTAAATGTGCAGTACAGTTCAAAAAGTCCTCACAGCTCTCCTGACTCCCCCATCCCTGTCTGCTCACCATCTCTCTAGTAGATATTTAATGTTTCAATGGTGACCAGAAAGAACCTGTCCAACCTCTCCGGTGACATTTCACATTTATTTAAATTACTTCTCTGTGCCTATGTTAGTGCTAAAGTTGTCTTTTTGCTGAGCATATATAATTGAATTCAAATTAAGTTAAATGTGAAAAACATGACACGATGATAAACACAAGTCTGTTCAAGTTCTCTATTTCAGGGATCAGGACACATTTAGTACTGTTATAACAACAGACTCAAAGCACAATGGTCCCAAGGTTCCCTAAATCAACCTCAAACAGCTGAGATCTGTAACTCTTAAGTACACTTCTGCTGACAAACACGAAAATCTCTAATGGTTTTCCTCTCTTGGAGGAAAAATACTGCTACTACACATTCAGAATAATTTCTCTATTGTAATACCAGGAGCTTTCAGAAAGCTCATGGATTGGTGGGGGAGAGGGAGAATAAAAAAACAGTAGCTGATACCAAGGGCTCAATAGAAAGTAAATGTCTAGAAAAGAATGATGGCAAGATATGTACAAATATGCCTGATACAACTGATGTACATAGATTTTAATAAGAGTTGTAAGAGCCCCCAATAAAATGATCTTTTAATAAAAATAAATGGAAAATTTCCAGGAATTTTTGAACCCCTTGTATTCTCATTTAAAAAATATAGTTCCTAGTATGTTTTAGTTCTAAGCAATAAAATGAACTACATATTATTTTTAGGTGTTCTACAAGAAGGAATTAAACAAAACACTCAAGTATTCCATCTGGCTAGAATTTTGTTACAAACTTTTTTTCCCTAACCTTGGCCTTTTCAAGCTTTACTTTGATATTCTAACAGTCTAATTTGTTGGATGCGCAAACGGGGAATGTAAAGGGTAGTACCCAACCCCAACCGTCTGATTTAAATGGGAGATTGCACCCACTTTCAAATTTTATTACAGCAAGCCAGGTCTTCAGACAAAAAAAGAAGGGCTGCTTCAGCAGGGGGTGGGGGTGTGTGTGGATGCAGGGGTTGTTGCTATTGGGTGCCCCCAAGTGGACAACTCACAAGAAACCCTATATGACGGAGAACTGCTCAGGACATGACAAGACCTAGCCAGCTGCATTATTTCTCAGTTAACTCAGGGTAAGAATCAAACAGTCAATTTAAACAGACTTTGGACCACACCCAACCTTGCTTGACCCAGAATCCCCAGGAGAACTTGATTAGCAACCGGCCCGCCCCCTGGTGATTTGTATCAGAGGTGAGTTTGGAAAAAGGGGCTTGGTGGCGGGGTCTTGTTAGGTAGCGACCCTGGGTACAACAGAACAAATGCTCCCCGGTCCTGCATCATCCTCACAACAGTAGCTATGTTTGAACCCACAGGTTCCACAACCCATCTCCTGAAGGGTTTCCCTAAGGACAGGGCCAAACCACCTCACTGACAGGAAAGGGTGGGAGACAGGCAGACACAGCTGCGTGTGGAAGAACTAAGGAGAAGTAAAAGCAGGAGCATACAGTGGTGCATCACTGCTCCACATAAAGCTGAACAAGGTCTTTCAGAGGGGCTCAAATCAGGGATACAGCAGTTTGCATGCTAGTCCTTTGCAAAGTGAGATTCCTACACTCATTTCCTCAATGAAGGGAAAGGAGGTATTTCTAGATCACTTAATAAGGTTTACATAGCATCTATGCACTAGGAGTTCTGGGGGCAGCTCTCGGGTATGCACTGAACTGCAATGTTGGTGATGCAGGGGCAGTGAATTATTTAATGTGGCTCAATTAGCCAAAGTCTCACCAAAGGACCTTTACCAGAATAAGTCTTAAGAAAGTGAAGGAAGATACAGATAGGATTTACCTGTGAGTAATTACAAACAGGATTCCCTGGAGTACCATCCTGCTGTGTTTAAAATTAGCCTTCTGAGAAGCAGGAGGCAGGGGAATCTAAGCGGCAAGAGCCAAGAGTGGGGTGTGTCTCTGGACCTGAGATGTCAGCTTTGCCATCAGAGCAGCAGCAGCAGAACCAGGAGCCAGAGCATGGAACAGTGTGATGGACTTCCCAATCAAGGAGCAGGTAAAGGTGAGTTTTGTGCAGAAGGCTGGCTTGCAGAGTAGGGTGCCTCTGGGCACTTCATTGGGAAGTTGCACTTGCTGACCCACAGAAGTGAAGCTGAGTGCCTCTGGGCTATGGCTTACTGGAGTGGGGCACTCGCAGGCACTTATTATGCCCGGCTGGGTTTTGGAGCTTGAGCTGAATGCCTTCAAGTAGAGGCTTATGGTGGAGTTGTGTGCAGACCAGAAACTTTTTAATAGGTCCTGGTAAACAACTACCCTGAACATTGCTCACTGGCATTGCAACTTGTGAACTTCCTTAATGACTTCTCCAATGATGAATTTTGTGAGTTCCTGTGTAGCTATTGCAATGGTTATTAGAAACTAGACAGATAAAATACACTAATTTAGACAACACAGCCAGTTCAAACCCACCAGCTACTGTGAGGGAGAAAGCGGAGAATTTTTGCTCCTGGTAAGATTTATAGCTTCATAAATCCAAAGAGGCAGTTCTACGCTGTCATATGGTGTGGCTCTGAGCTGGAATTGACCCAATAGCAGAGGGTTTTTGGAGTCTCATTCTAAAGCAATTTAATACTGTACAGTTGGCATCTATTGCTCATGAAGACAACTATACAAAATGTATTAATTGATCACTAAATCTCATTGTAGAAGGTTTTCGCTCCTTACCAATTTAAACCTTTCACCACAGGCTTCCAAACTTACCTTGGCTTATCACCCGCTTTTCAGAAAAAAAATTACTCTGCCTCCTCTAACAATTAAAAATTTGTGCATTACAGCCATTTAGGATAATGTGTAGGTATCTGTGTGTACAGCCCCCTGGATCACTGCAGCAGCCCCAGGGGAGGCATTGCCCACTTTAGGAAACACTGCTTTACATAATCTTAAGGTTTCACACCCTCAAATGTTAGAATTTGTCTCTGTTCCCCAGTTCCCTTTTCTTTCCTAAACATTTTGACAGCAGAGGCAAGAAACAGTAATATAGTTAAGAACAACAACAACAAAATGGGGTGGGGGTGGGGGTGGGGGCGTCTACCACCTGATAACCACTGCTTAATCTGCCAAAGAAGACGGGCTTCTGCAAGTGTTTACAGATTTGTAAGCTGGGACCCAGCAAAGTAACTCTTCCAGAAAAGCACCACCGATGCAAACCCAGAAATGCTGAGGGCAGGCCGCTCTCCAGCTGAGTTACAGTAATGCTAACTGCTATGCCTCTGCTCCAAGTACCTGGACTTCCATCTCGTGACCATGTGCTGCCACCTACCGTATGTCAGTAATGACCACCACGTGTTCACAGTCTCCCTGGTGACAATATAAATAAGGAAAGCCCAGTTTGATATGCAGGTCATTGAAGGTGAAATCTTCCATGTTCGCCGCCTGAAACTTCCCATAACCTCTGTCGTGGGCTTCAGACCACTCAATGATAGTCCTGGGGGTGGGATGGGAGAGCACAGATGTATCACTGCTTCATGGAAACTTTTAAAGGGTCAAGAAGGGGTCTGAGCAGCATTTTCTATACCGGTTCCACCTTGAGAGGAAAAGCCCGGGGCCCATGCGAGAGGGACCTAGGACTGGACTATCCTCTGTCACAGCAGCGCGTCCCTGGGTGGTGCAAGCAGTAAAGGGCTCAAGGGTCAAAAACTTAAATTTAACTTTGCCACCCAAGTTGGTTTATTGAGATATAATTATTTCAAGGACGAGAAACTGGAACGACCTTGAAGAGATTTTTGGAAATGGTACCTGCTCAGATCTCGGCATTCGGGATATCTTTTATCATTGTAAAATGTTCCTTCGAAGTAAAAGAAGGCCGATTTGTATAGATCCTACAAAAATTAAAAAAAAAAAAAGATGCGTTGAGTCCAGTACCAATAATAATTGGGAAGTTTCAATGATTCAAAATGTTTAAATTACTATTACTCATATCAATGCACTAATAGATGTGTTACAGTAGCCGTATGAACTGTTACCCATAAACTTCACTCCTGAATGTGTGACATTTAATGGGAACATTTAATGTGACAAGTATGCCACCAGGATTTTATCCTGTTGCTGTTTGTACCCCAGGGTTGGATATAAATTGACAGATTCTCCTGTGAGTCATGAAAGGAATTCAAATGGCAATGAAATACACACGTCAAGGTTACTTTATTGTACACAATGGCACTGGCAATTTGGGGTTCTAGAACTAAACCAGTGGACAATCTATGTTAAAAAACAAACAGAGGACCGTAGGGCTGGCCCCGCCATGGGTCACGGCGTCCCTCACTGAACCATGACGCTGTGGGGGACAGCACTGGAGACACAGTATGGGAATAGTGCACAGTCTGGCCCCATTACACTGGGGCGAGGCACTGGGCATGCAGAAGAGCAACAGGGGGAGCAGAGGAATGAAACCCCTGGTGAATACCAAAAATAGACTTGAGAGACAGAGTGTGGCACCCCATCAGACTCCACTGGAAAACACTCGTTTTTGCACTTATTAATGTATCTGCATGTCTACCTAGATAAGATAGGCAGGATAAATAATTTGGAGATGAAAAGTATGGGACCAATAGTTCCAGGGGGACTGGGAGAAGGGGAGGTGGGAGAAAGGACAGGGGGGGTGGGGGGACGACTACACACCAATCCAGGGACAAGGGAACAACAACTGAACTAAAATCATTGGAAGGAAGGTCGTAGGATGCCTAGTGGGGCTCAATCAAGGGCAGTGTAGCAGCGAGGAATTATTAAACCCGAATGAAGGGGAGGGAGGGGCGCTATGGAGTGGAGACCCAATGCCCATCTGTAGACAATTGGACATCCCCTCACAGAGGGGTCACAGGGAAGAGATGAGCCAGTCAGGGTGCAGTAGAGCACCAATGAAACACACAACTTTCCTCTAGTTCTTTGGTGCTTCCTTCCCCCCACTACCAGGACCTCAATTCTACCTTACAAATCGGATCAGACCAGAGCACGCACACTGCTACAGATAAGAGCCTGCAACAGAGAATCCAGGATAGATAAACCCCTCAGGACCAACAAGGAGAGTAGAGATACCAGGAGGATTAGGGGAGGGTGGGTGGAGAAATGGGGAATCGATCACAAAGATCAACCTAGAACCTCCTTCCAGGGAGATGAATAATGGAAAAATGGGTGAGGGGTGATGGAGGTTGATGTAAGATATGAAAAAATAATCTATAACTTATCAAGGGTTTGTGAGGGTGGGCAGGGGAGGGAGGGGGAAGGAATGGGGAGCTGATATCGGACACTCAAGTGGGAAGAGAATGCTTTGAAAATGATGATGGTGGCATATGTGCAAATGTACTGGACACATTGGAGGAATGTATGGGTTGTGATGAGAAGGAAGAGCCCCCAGTAAAAGTATTTAAAAATAAACAGACTGAACAGGGCCTCCTGGAGATAGGTCCAACTCCTCGGGCTGACATGGTCTGCTCTGAGCAATGACAGCACGGCCAGAATAAGCAGTGGGAATTTGGATTATTCTTACAGCTGACTAGCTGCTCCGTGGGAGAAAAACAGGGCTCCAGTAAAGACTGACTGTCTCAGAAATCCAAGGGGGCAGTTCTACCCTGTCCTACAGGGGCGCTGTGATTTGCTATCAACTCAGCAGTATTGAGTCTGGTTTTGGTGAGTTGATCGTGTTACTTTACAATCTTGTGTTTTTGTTGGGTTAAACTCTGCCGAGCAAATCATATGTTTTCCTCCTCCAGAGAAAAGCTCCCCTGTTGCCTGCTCAGCGTGTAGCCTTGGAATTCCACGTGTTCCTCTTGATTCTCCAACGATGGCATATCCTCTACCTTGTTTATCTCAAGAAGCCGGGGAAAACGAAAACCCTTAAAAGTATTTCCAACATGACTCAAAAACCATTTCAGTGTTACTTACCTGTGCTGTACAATGAAGCTAATCACTCCACCTACCTCCTCTTTTGCCTCCTCTAAAGAGGGACACGCTCAGCCTCAGAACCAGGCAGGTAGACACCTGGCACGATCGGTGATAGTGCACTGGGACAGAGGAAAAGGTGCTTCGGTGGCAAAGAGTGGTGAGGCAGGAGAAATGTTATGTAAGAACATGTTATATAATAGGCGAATCTCGAACTGGGTTGGAGATACACGTATAAACTCCATAGGAGAGAAGGGAAGTTCTCTTTCTGGTGTTCACATGCCGGAGGCATGAAAAGCGTGATGGGCTGAGGTAGGGATGAGTAGCACAGTTAGGTTGGAATCGTCCCTTAAAAGGCTTCTGAGGCCCACCTGTGGATGCTGGACTCCAGGTGCTATAGTTGTGGCTTTCTAGCTGAGAATGATGGCAAAGACATGGAAGAATAAACCATTTGCTTACAAATTTATGAAACGGCCAGAGAATTGCTGAGTATCTGGGATTATTACTATTCCTGTTTGATTTGGTGTGGTGGAGGGGAGGTTGGCGGCGGGGAGATAGGAGTGAGGAGTGTTAGAATCAGCTTACTTTGCTGATGTGCTCAGGGGCTTGGTCTGGAGCATTGCTGAACTCCCCTCCGATCTGGAGGTCACTGACGCAGCAGATGGAATCTCTCAGCTCGGTGAGCTTCTGACTGCCCAGCACCAGCACCGTCTGGTACGGCTTGTGCTCTTTGTGCTAAAAGGCAAATGGTGAGGAGTCAGTTTCCACTCGTGCAGAGGGCAATTCAAATACCTATTCTGTCAGAGCCAGGTCTACAAGTTATTAGTTTTCAGAGTTTTGGTGTAAAATGATCATAAAACTGCCACAAACTGACATCAGTAATAGGAATCTTAGGGCCACAATCGCATCTAGTAGTGCAGTCTTCTACAACTTTCTGGAAGCTCCCTCCCTCAAGCCAAGGATGTGTTTTTGGTTTTGTACTGGGCTCGGTGATCTGAGAGTGGAAAGCAATTTCCCTACAGAAACAGGGTAATTATTACTCCCAGGTACAACATTTTTCATAAGTCTATCTATTGCAAGAACATTATTTATATACTGTAGGAACATTTCAATTAAACCTTTTACTCATGACACACCTAGTTTGGAAATCCAGAAGACGAATGTATTCTCTGGGCTGGGTTGGAATTCTTTTTTTTTTTTTTAATAATTTTATTGGGGGCTCGTACAATTCTCATCACAATCCATACATGGGTTAGAATTCTTTTTATTACAGATTCCTTAGAAATTCCTCAGTACCTCAACTTGTTAATGCTCTGCATTTTTGTTCAGCATGACTTCTGTTTAGTTCATGCAATAATGTCCCAAGTACAGTGACTGGTAAGCAAACATCACCCAACTTCTTGACCAGCCACCCATTCTGAACAACAACAACAACAACAAACCCCCAATCAAACAAAACTAGGATTTTCAGAATAAGAGTTACTCTGGATTTGTAAAATTTGCTGTTTCTAGTACAAAAATCAGATCTACACTCGACTCCTATAATTATTATCCAATTAACGAGTTATTACATTTGATATTTATTTTACAATAAACCAAACCACACCCACCACAGTGAGCTCATTGTGACTCATCGAGCTCATTTAGGCAGCAGAGCAGTGCTGCCCGCAGGGTTTCCAAGGCTATAAAACGTCATGGAAGCAGATGGCTTCCATCTTTTTCCCAGGGAGCAGCTGGTGAGTTTGAACCACCAACCTTTTGGCTGGCTGGAGTGCTTTAACCTCTGCACCACAGGGGCTGGCTTTCTTTTTAATATTGCATATTAAAACAAGGACTCCAAAACTGAGTTGGTAAGAGCTTCCAATAAAATGATTAAAAATAATAAAATTAACCTGAATTTAGAAAATAATTGCACTGACATCTCATTTTAAGATTTTGGTATGTGCATTAAGAATTTTGTAAAAATTGTTCATAATGTTTCTGTACTGATCTCAAAACAACCAACAAAACCAGTTACAAGAGGGGGAAAAAAAAAAGGAACATAGATGGTCACCTCAGGACATCACATCAGCAGCAGGGACCTGCATCTTCTAAGACTCTTAAGGAACAGGACTCAAAAACAAACAAAAAAGAAAACCCTGACTCTTTGACCAACGTTGCTCATATTGTCGGTCAGCACTGACCTTATGAAAGATGACAGGGTACAAGATATTCAGCGATAGGATCAGCTCCCCCGGTTCCACCAGGTCAGCTGGATTCTCCGGCCGTTTCCCGATGGCACGGGACTCCTACAGGAGGGACATTGAGTCAGGGGCTGTGACTCAGAGAGGTGGGTGGTGTGGTAAGCAAAGGCCTGACCCTGACTCCTAATCTCATCCCAGGCTAACTGGGAAGTCCCTCTAAGCTTCAGTTTCAGCTCCTGTTATAAGGAAAGAAACCAGGATATACTTATTTTACAAAACTATGGTTGGACCCATGCACCAGAAGTATCTACGAAGAAGTCTGGCATCAGTAGCTGAAGAAGTGACGGGGCATTCTCTAATGCTAGAAAGCTGTGGTGGTTACGGGGCCCCAAGCCACTGGGGACTCACAGCATGCCCCTGTGACGGTGTGGCATTGCCCCACATGGTGTTTCTTGGCTGTGATCTGCTGAAGGCTGACCTCCAGCTCCTCCTGAGGAGTCACTGGGAGGGTTGGAACCTCTGACCTTTTGCTGGACAACTGAACACTTAACCATGTGGAACACTGGCACTTTACAGTCACAGCCACTGTCGTGTTATGACGAAGCTCTACAAGAGGAGGCTCAGGTTTGCCCTCGGGCCCACCAAGACAGAGCCTGTTTGCTCTAACAGCCGAGCTGCTTTACAAACACGATCACTTTCAGCATACCACACTCTTATACGTGTTCAACAAATACGACAGAGAAGGGGCAAAGACAAAAAGGGGCAACAAAACGATGCCTTGCTGTACTACCGAGGGTCCAGCACGCGGACGCTACACAGTCGGTGGGCAATACAGTTGCCCGAAGGAATCCCTCATGTCCACTAACTCTACTAAGGGTTTTACAGAGAGACCACAGCTTAGGATGAAGAATACCTGGACACCGATATCAGGAGCAGAGGAAACGCCAAAAGGGCCAGGGTGGTGAAAACGCAGGAATTCAGCCTACAACTGCAAACAAGATCAAGGCAAGGGAAAAGGCTGGAGCAGGGAAAGGTTTGACCCCAAATAGTCAAACACACCAAACAAAGCCATCAGTGCTGAGCGGCTTCTGAGTCAGAGCCAGCCACCCCACGGGGCAGAGCAGACTCTTCCCAGGGGCAGCCGTCAGCCTTCTCCCGTGGCGCAGCTGGCCTTTTGGGAAAACGGCCGAATGCTAACCACTGCTCCATCAGGGCCCCTTGTCAAATAGGTGATCCCTTGACCTTTGTGGACTGTTTTCTCTCTCATGAGAGCCCGTGGAGTATTTCTAGCTTGTTTTCAGCGAAGCACGTGTGACATAAAGTGAACATTCAGCTAGGGGCGGGGAGATTACTGGTACAGGCGGGGAATGACGCTTACCATCTCGTAAGCAAATGTTTCCTGTCTGCACACCCGGTCTATCGTTATGGTTTCTTCCCGGTGTTCCATGAGCTTCTTCCTAACTCTGTTGTAGATACAAGCAAAACAAAACAAAAAAATCACCACACTTCAGCATTCCTTACTAGGCCTTTGAAAACAACCCTAGTAATTTAAAAAACAAACAAACCTAAAACAACAAAAGCCCTTTTTATATTTGAACTTTAGATCATCAGAAAAGCTCCAACAAATGTAAAGAATTCACTTATAGGGCTCACACTCTCCCTGCTATCAAGGCCATTGAACGCACAGCGAGCGACTCCTACAGGGCGGTGTAGAACTGGCTCTGTGGGTTTCCAAGATGGCAACTCTTTTACTGAAGTAAAGAGCCTCATCTTTCTCCCTCGGAGCAGCTGGTGGTTTTGAACTGCCGACCTTAAGAGAAGCGTAACCACCATGCCACCAGGGCTTCTGTTACCAGATTACATAAGCAGTAATTAGCAAGAGCAGGAAATTAACAATGGGGGAACATGGTTAACTCCAGAGCTGAACTGGATTCATAATTTTATCATTTAGTGCCCACTTGAATCCCACAGGGCCTTTGTTATTTCTCGTGAGCGCTCAGTCTTGTCTTTCACGATCTGCATGCTTTTGGAGAGGTCCAACCAGTTACTTGCATAAGGCCCCTCAATTTGGGTCTGTCTGCTATTCCCTTATTATCTACTGCACCGTTGTGCATTTTGAAGAGAACACCACAAGAAAGGAATGCAGCACACCCACTATTAACAGGGAGCGCTCTCCATTCACCCCACAGCGGAGAGCCAGGTGCTGTTGGAGAGGGCACAGCCCAGGCTTGCACTGCACGGTTGAACTTGCTGTAAATCCACTCACAAGAATATCAGGGAAAGCTAGTCAAAAGAGGTGCTGAAAGGAGGTGGGTGCTGGATAGAGTTGCTCGCTGCTGCTCAACTCAATGCACTGCAGGAGCTGGGGACCGCAGAGGGCGAGCACTCTGTAGAAGCCTGCCCAGCAAGCTCACTGCAATGTCTTCCCACCCTTTCACTGAGAAGGTTTATTCTTGTATCAAATGGCTATTTTAGAGAGAAAAGATGCAGTGAAATTGCTTATATAAGACTCTCCAATCCATTTCTCTGTACATCCCTCCTAATGATTGGGTGGGACTTTGCAAATAAGGTATGGAGAATTCTAACGAGGATTGACCAGTTTTGCCAGGCCTCTGGGTATAAGAACGTCACTTCGAAGCAGAGCAGAGAGAATTCCAGGATGACCGAGAAAAATAAAGTCATCCACAGAATACATGGCAGAAGCCAGGCCCCAGAGGCCCTGAAACAGAGCAGTGGGTGGGCTTCCTAGCCCATAAGGCAAAGTCCAAGGGACTACGTGGCTGAGAGGCCAAGAACGAGAGCAACATGCCTGTCAGCAAGGCTGAGAAGAGGCACTGTGGACAAAAGGACTGCCTCCTGGCATGCTGTAATCTGCTAGAAGGATGAGGCTTCCACTCCACTAGAAAGAAACCCACCAGAGAGGCATTCCTGACCTATAGGGCCGCTACGGGTTGGAATTTACTCGATCGCAGTGAGGTTTTTGGTTAACTTCCCTTAAAAGCCCAGCTTCTTGAGTCTTGCCTGTGAGTTCTTAGCGGCCACTGCAACCGTTCACTGAACCACTACAGAAGGAGAAAGGAAATTGGAAGGTAGAGGCATTTCTGACGTCTGTTGTGTGGCATTCAGTACTGGGCTACTGTGGAGCTGGATTCTCCTCCTCCCTTGACCCCCATGCCATCTTCTCAGAAGGAAAAAGGTTTTGTAGATGAGATAACCGACGCGCACATCTTCCTTCTCATGTAACTGCTTTCCTCGCTAACAGTATGTCCCAGCAACCACCCTGAGTTCAGTCTTCCTCACCCAGGATCATGGCTGCACAGTAACCCACCATAGTAACTGAGGTCTGTCTGTCTGACGTTCTATGGCTGGGCATATTTGGGGTACTTCAAATTCAAGGGGGCTTTTAAAAGTTCATGAGGAAATTCCATGATCATCATCTTCCCTTTTGCATGAACTTTTTGAAGCCTCCTTGTATCTTGCAATTGCACAGTTGCAAGGGGAAACCTTGCGGTCAGCATTTTGGTACTGGTGGTGGTGGTGCACCTACAGTGCAGTCTGTGAGAACTTTGGGAACGCGAGGCCAAAAGGTAAGTGCATCTGAGCGCATTCCCATCAGCAGTATTTCTCCCATTGCCTCACCAAAAGGATGTGCTGGTCTAATTTTTAGGTTAGGTTTCTGGTCTTTGTTATGTCTCAATTAATAGGAGCTCTTAAGTGGTGGGGGGGATTAGGTCTTTGTGGTAATGCCTATTTCTTTTGAGTTGTCATAGCCATCCTGTTACTTTGTTCATGGGTTTGGTTTATTGGGGGGTTTTTTTGCTATAAAAAAAAATCTTCATATCATCAATTTTACCCTCTTTCTTTTATTCTGGACTTGAGGCTCACTTTATAAGGTATATGCAAGACCTTAATGGTTTTTCAATCCCATATCCCATTGTAGTTAATTCTTCTGGATGGTATCATGCTAAATCTCCATATATTCATCTAACTCTGGACTTATATATACTCCACTGCCCTGGTTATGGGCCACTACTTGATGTTTCAATTATAAAGACTCTGCACTGTATTTTAATATCTGGTAAAGCCAGTACTCTTGTCTATTCCTGCCAAGCCCTCACCCCCAGCCCCAGTGTTTTCCAGCCATTTTAACATGTTTTGGTTTTCCACGTGAACTTCAGTACCAGCTTGTCTAAATCTCTCTCTCACACACACACGTTGGTATTTTCATCAGGATTGCATTGAATTTATAAATGACACAGGATGAACTATCTTCATAATTCACATATTCCTATCCAACAAGGGGGATGTCTTTCCATTTGTTCGTCTTCCTCAGTGCCCTTCAAGAACGTTTTACAATTCTCATATAGGTTACAGTTGTTTACAAGGATTAACAAGGGTCCTGTTATAGTTCTCTATTGTTCTTGGTGGCTGTGCTAATGGAATTTCCCCCCTTCCATTATGCCCTCTATTGTTTTGTATATGTAGATAATTTTTATGGCTTAGTTTTGTACCCTACATCACTCAAGTATGTTACGGTTTGTGTTAGCTTTAGCATGAATTTCTCTGGGCTTTCCTAGGAAAAGAACACAGGATTAACACCAGTGATGCAGAAAAGGCATTTAACTCAATCCAACACTCTCTGATGATAAAAACACTCAACTAAGAAAGAAGGGAAATTCTGAGACAATAAAGGGCATGCATGATAAACCCACAGTTAACTCATAATCAGTAATGAAAGACTAAAAGCTTCCCCCCTGAAATCAGGAACCAGGCAAGGTGGTCCACGCTTATCGCTGATGAACAGCACTGTGCTGGAGTCCTAGGACAACTGGGCAACAGAAAGGAACAAGACATCCAAGCTGGAAAGAGGTGAAGGTGCCATGATCCCGTATGGAAAAACCACACCAAGAATCCTTACGGAAGTTATTAGAGCCCATACCTGGGCTCAGCAATGTGGTTTTAGATCAACATTTACAACAGCATGTAACAGAATAAAATACCCACGACTCCACTTAGCCAGGGAGTGAAAGACTTGCACACTGAAAACAACAAACATTCCTGAAAGAAATGAGGCCTCAGTAAATGGAAAGGCACCCAGTGCTCATGGCTGAAGACTTAAAAATCAGTAAAATACCAGTATCACCTCAAATAAGCATCAGACTCAATCTAATCCCTATCAAAATTCCAACAGCCTTTGGGACACAAATGTTGATCTTTAGTTATGTGCAATTGCAAGGGCCTTCAATAGCTAAAACTATATTGGATTTCTACAATGGAGAATGAAGTTTAAACTCATATAACTTATCTTATACCAACCCCCCCCACACACACACACAGTTCACAAATGGATCATTGACTCAAATATAAGAATGTATCCACTACCAAAAAAACAAGGCCCTGAAAAACTTTACCCTGGTTTTCTTCTAAGCATTTAATGATTTTAGTTTTCATTCCCCTGAAATAATTGTTGGATGCAGAATTATCCACATGTTCCCCTCCCTCTACAATCCTGACAGTAGTTCACACTCTGTTACAAAAAGAAACATACTGCCCCAAAGTTGCCTTGCTTTGTAATTTTGCAAAGTCTGATACTCATCCTTTTCCCTTCATACATGATGTGTTCTTCATCCCTGGAAAGGCCCTGTGTGGCCCAGTGGATTCCAAGTTGGGCTGCTAGCCACAAGGTCAGCAGTTTAAAGCCACCAGCCATCGTTGGGAGAAACAGAGGCTTTCTACTTCCATACCGATTTACATTCTTGGAAATCCGGAGAGAGTTCTATTTTATCCTGTCTGGTCATTAGGAGTCAGAACTCACCCAATAGCAGTGAGTCTGGTTGAGTTTGGGTCTTGCCTGTCTGGTCATTAGGAGTCAGAACTCACCCAATAGCAGTGAGTCTGGTTGAGTTTGGGTCTTGCCTAAAAGCCTTCATGATTCAGCTTTTATTTATCTCTGAAATCTAATCATTTCACTTGGGTATGTCTGAGTTGATTGTTCTCGGCGAATTTCTCCAGGTACCCAGAGAGGGCTTTCAACGTGCTTTTGTTCTTCAATATGGAAATTTTGCTTAGATATTTTAAAATATTAATTCTGTTCTATGCATTGTTTTGCTTTTCCAGAGATTGTGATACTATGAACATTATACCTTTGCCTGTCTTCCATGTCTACCATGTTCTCTTTTTTCACCCCCCTTACGTAATTTTCGTTCTCTTGGATATTTACAGGCCTTTCGTCAAAGTTCTGTATTTCCACTGGAGTCTATTTTCCGATCAAAAACAAACACTGACACGGAGCCCATGAACAACCCTACAGACAGGGTGGACTGCTCCTGTGAGTTTCCTAATACTTGTACAGGAACAGAAAGCCCCATCTTCTAACGCTATTGAACTGCTGACCTTGCAGTTAGCAGCCCAACTCTAGACTACTATACCACCAGGGCGCCAGGGTACCTTATAATTTATTCTGATGAGATAATTTTGCCTTTTCCATTTTTCCGATTTCCCTCAATTAATTGTTTCATTTCCATTTCAAAATTATTTCATTTTCAAAACCTCTCATTCAAGGTAGTTTTTAATATCCTCAAATGCTTGAGTATACCTAATTCCATTTGAAGTCTAGCCAGAGTGTATTCTTATTTCCTGGTTGTCTTCCGGGGCTGGGAAGCAATCTGAATTGTTCTGTGCCAGCAGCTGTGTCTTTCCTACAATAAGGTCCCTTGGGATTTTATTTCCTCTTACTCAATTTTTTATCACTTCAAGGGTTAGGTTACCAGATCTCTAATTCAATAATGCTCTTTTCTGTTGGTCAAGTAAAGTCTAATATATTAGAGCTTTAAGTGTTTTTATTTGTTCTAGTGGTAGAGCTAGGATTCCTCCAATCTTGTGGATTTTTTTTTTCCGCCTCATGCCTTACTCTAAAGTTTACCCATTTTCCCCTTAAAAAAAAAAAATCAAACCAAACACTGCCATTGAGTGGAAGCCAACTCGTCGGGACCCTATAGGACAGGGCAGAACTGCTCCTGTGAGTTTCCAGGACAGCAAATCTTGAAGAGTAGAAACCCTCACCTTTCTCTGCTGGTGGTTTTGAACTGCTGACCCTTAAATGGTGAAGCACTGATTCAGTACTTTCTGGCCACACAAATGAGAGGTGTGGGCAGAACAATCTAATGTAAATGGCAGTCTGGTTCCATAAAAATTCACAGCCTCGGAAATCTCATGGGGTTTCCTCGGGGGGAAGTTCTCTCAAGCCCTACAAGGTTGCTAGGAGTCAGAATCAAGTCCATGGCTAAAGTCTGGAAGACAGTTACTGACCGTTCAGATCTGGCTAGGAAAACAGAGAATGAAGCGCACAGATCATTCATGCCCTACCTGACGTGCTCTCCTCCCTGAGTGGGAGCTGACGAAAGGACAACCGCCCCGCCCCCAGTAGAGCCCGATGGGCACTGCCACAGAGCAGCTGGTGCCAATGAGTCCCTTGACTCCTGGTGGCCAACCTGACCTGTGCGGAGTAGAACTGCCCTACAGAGATTGTAAGGCTGTGACACGCAGAACAACAACGTAAGACTTGCCTTCCTGAGGGGCTGGCCCCAATCCCAACTACTACGTGGACACCTGCCCCTCCCTCCAGAAGAATTTATTTCAAAGGAAGGCACTGAATCTGCAGCTCCGGGAGAGGGACATATCTGATCGGAGCACACGGGAGCAGATGAAGGGGGAGGAGAGAGTGGAGCACCAGGCCTTGAGGACGATGTTCCTGATTAGAGCAGCCAATCCACAGAGAGGACCACATGGAAGAAGCATACCAGCCTGTGTGATCATGAGGTGTCGAAGGAATCAGGTATCAGGCATCATCAGAACAAAAAATCATATCATAGTGAATGAGGGGGGTAGTGTGGCGTGGAGACCCAAAGCCCATCTGTAGGCCGCTGGACATTCCCTTGCAGAAGGGTTTCAGGGAGGAGACAAGCCAGTCAGGGTGCGATGTAGCAACCATGAAACATACAACTTTCCTCTAGTTCCTAATGCTTCCTCCTCCCCCACTATCATGATCCCAATACTACCTTATAAGTCTGGCTAGACCAGAGGATGTACACTGATACAGATAGGAAATGGAAACACAGGGAATCCAGGGCGGATGATCCCTTCAGGACCAGTGGTGTGAGTGGTGATATTGGGAGGGTGGAGGGAGGGTGGGGTGGAAAGGGGGAACTGATTACTAGGCAGAGGCGGAGCCACTGGCCATTTCTGAGCCGGCACTCAGTGGGCAGGTGATAGTGCAAATGACCCTGGGGAGGACAAGAGGGGCTCAGCAAACATGGAAGCCTTTCTGTGCTCCCGCTGTGGCTAATGTAATTGTTAGCAAGGGAGTGGGGCAGTCAAGGGGAACAAATTAGGTAGTTATTACAAGAGAGATCACCCGAGAGAAAGTGACTGCCTGGGTATTGGAGCTGGACCACTGAGGCAGGAGCATTTAGCAGAGTGGTCTGGATAACGGCTACAATCTGGAAACAGTAAATCTCTCAGTCAGAGACTAGTCCAGACGCACAGAGCTAAAGCAAACTGGGCCAAGTGATACGAACTGCTGAAGGAGGGGTGTGGATGTGTATTTGGATGATTCTAATAGTATTCTTTTCAACTTTTCACAAAATGTTGACAACCCTGTCTAACACGCCCACCACTACCCTCCCGCCTGTAAACGCCACATTACAGAAGCCAAGCCCTCCATACCCCAAAGTCACCAGGTCCACGTCCTCAGGGATAATTTCCGGGTCCTCGCCTTCTTCCAGGCACTTCAGCTTATCCAGGCTGGGAAAAACACAAAGAATGACTTTAAAGGACGGCCGGCCGGTATCCTCAGCTGCCAGGGTTGGGTTCTAAGCACATCCATGCATAATTCAGAAGTCAGATAAAATCTTGCAGGCGGCTCAGCGGAGGGGTCGGCGTTTTTTGTGCCCACTTTCTAGTAAGTTAAATGGGTAATATGGCTGATTGAAGGTCAATACTCTCAAACGGCGAGGGATCATTACCAGTGCTTTCTACTTTTGCACCCGGAATGCGGCACTTCTAGCAGGGAGGTCCTCAACAGTTCATGAGCGTTTCCGTGCTCCTCGGAGGAAGTCCCCTGCTGCAGCCTCACCATTACTCAGGTCCCTCCATTGTCAACGTTGTCTGTCAACAGCAGGACCATCTCGTCGCGCCCTGATGGCTTTTCGCTATTAACCAGCACTTACAAATGAGCGAAGAGACATATTCATCTCCCATTCACCCAAGTCCCTGAAAGTGTGCACTGCGCCCCGGGGCTTCTTCGGACGTGGCCAGCCAGGGAACGCTCTGGCGGGGGTGGGGGACCCCGGCAGGCCCTGCTCGGCTCTCCGATCTCGGGGTCTGCACCACAGGCCCTCCCGACCAGGTCCCAGGGAGCGCGGCGGCAGGGGCGCGTCCCACTCGGCCCCGCACTCACCCGCACACCGCCCTCAGCTCGGCAGCCGCCTCCAGGCTGCAGCCCAGATCCCGGGCCACCGCGGCGTCCTCCCGCGCCCAGTCGGCGCCCCCTCGGCCCCCGGGCGGCCGAGGCTCCTCCAGGGACAAGTCGTCGGCCCCGCGCAGTCGGCCCCGCCACAGCTCCCCGAAGGAGCCCACGTGGAAGGCGCGAGTGCTCAGCTCCGGAAGCTCATACTCTGGGAAGTTGCAGCCGCCGCTGCTGGGCACAGGCTCCTGCCGATCTGCCACCCCGCTGCACGCAGGGCCGCCCGGGCTGCCTTCAGCCATGTTCACTCCGCTGCCTTCCCTGCAAATGCCCAGCGCTGGGGCCTCGCGCAGCGTGATGGGACTTGTAGTTGCGCAGTGCCCTCGGGCGGCGAGGGCGGGGCGGCGCGAGCCGAGCGCGAGAGACTACATTTCCCGGCAACCCCCGGATCGGGACGGCCCCCCGGTCGCGGCGTCACGCGGCTCGGCGTGCCGGGAGGAACGCATTGTTCTCCGTGCTGTGCTGGGCGGGCCGGGGCGTGGCTCGCTGGTCTGGCTCCTGGCCATTTGGCTCTCCTGCCTCTGTGTGTCCACTCCTTTCAGCCAGCTAGTTGCTCTCCTTGTATATGGGACGTTCTCTCTACTTCACGGACTACCTTCCTGCTTGTGGCCCAGAGACTGAGAGACAAGGACAGTGGCTGCTGGTCAGGGACATGACCAGCCCTTCAGTCCAGTTCCTAACGAACCTATTCCAAAGCCCCATGCTTGTGTGCATGTGCCCCATGCTTGTGTGTATGTGCATACATACACGTGCAGTTAGTAGGCCTCATTTATCGTGTTACTGTGATACCAAATACGTTTCAGCAGGAACTAGTTTCCGGACTAGGAAGAAAGGACTAGCTATCTACGACAGCTATGCAGCCAATGAAAACCCTGTGAATCGCAAAGGTCTGATCTACAAGATTCTGACTTCCGCAACCCATCTTGGGGAAAGCACGGGTCAGGGCTGCGCTTCATTTTTTGAGCATGGGCGGCAACAAACAATATACTTTAAAAAATTATTAGAATGTTGCCAAGTAGGGATGACGATTAGCCATCGGCAGAAGAAAGCGGGTTGTTGTTAGGTATTGTCTTGGCGGCTCTGACTCTACCGCCCTGTGAACAACAAAATGAAACACTGGCTGGTTCTATGGCGAGGTTTGGGTCCACTGTGAGCCTCTGTGCCAATACGTATCTTCCTGGGGTTTTTGATGTTGTTTTCTTTGTTTTGATGACCCTCTGCTGTAACAACCGTGCATCTCTATCCAGGGACTGGTTCTTCCTAATAACATTTCCAGAGTGGGTGAGGTGTGACCCTCCTGGCTTCTAAGATGCATTCTGGGTGATGGATTACTTCTAGACATGCTTGCTTGTTCTGGCCAAAAAAAACCCAAAAACCACCAAGCTCACTGCCATCGAATTGAAGTCATCTCACAGTGACCCTATAGGACAGGGTAGAACTGCCCTTGTGAATTAATAGTGGAATTGCTGGGCCATACAGTAATGTGCGTTATTCATATGTGTAGCCCAGCTTCTCTGGATTAGTTTTATACAGATTGGATAAGTATTCATGTTGGGTTAGGCTGGGTTATCTGGAGGAATAAACCAATGATATTCATCTATGTACAAGAAAGCACTTTCTATCAAGAAATAATCTTACATCAAGAAGGCCAGTCCAACTCCAGTCTGGAAGTCCAATGCTAGTGAGGGCCCTCTGCAGACTCACCTAGCTGCAGGCCAGTGACGCAGAAAGGTGAAGCGGGATGCAGGAAGGTCACAAGCCAGTGGGTGCAGAGTCACGTGGACCTGTGGAAACATGGCAGGGCACCAAGAGCTCACATGGGGCTGCCCCTGAAGGCAGACAGAGTTCCAGCAAGCAAGAAGGCAAAGGGGCAGAGAGAGAGAATTCCAATGTTTCTCACTCATACAAAAAAGGTTTAGGACACCAAGGGTGGGCCCTTCCCCTACCCTTCCCCAGAAGTGCCTAGTTGACAGAGTCCCTAGTCATCACAGACTCCATGATAGAAACTGATTTCACACCAGTAATTCTTTGACAAACTGTTTTTCAAAGTAACTGCACCATTTACATTCTGATCAGCAATATAGGAGGTTTTAATGTTCCGACATCCTCATCAACACTTGTCATTATTTGACTTTTTTCTAACTGTAGTCATTTCAGTGGGTGTAAAGGAGCCCTGGTAGTGTAGTGGTTCTGCGTTGGGCTGTGATCTGCATCGTCAGCTGTTCAAAACTACCAGCAGCTCCTCAGGAGAAAGACTGGGCTTTCTACTTTCGTAAACAGTTACTATCTCTGAAACCCACAGGGGGTCGATAGGAGTCAGCAATGACTTGATGACAGCGAGGTGTGTTTTTTTTAAGTGGGTGTCAAGTGTGTTAAAATAAAATTCACACGCACGCACAAAATCACATCAAGTCTATGATGTATATTAATTGACATTTATTGGATAATGATTTGAAAACTGAGGTAATATTTCTATTATTGTTGTTAGGTATCATTGAGTTATTTACAACTTATAGTGACCCATGAGTAACAGAACAAATTACTGCATGGCTGTGGTAGTTACATTATCTGGTGCCAACCTGAGACTATTAAGAGTGAAGGGGTGAAGCTTAGCCTGTCAATCAGGTCGCTGTTTGATGACCTCATTTGGAGACTCTATGGAGATAAATAGCTCGCTGGAGGCAGGACACATGCACGCTCTGCTTGGTATTCCTGATGACAAGATACGTGGAGCTATGCTAGTGCCCTGGAGCTGGAGGGGCCATTTGGAGGCTCACACCAGTGCTGAGATGCTTACACTGCCATTGGATCCACAAGACTTTCCATCCACTGGCTGTGATCCTCCTGCATTTGGTGTCCTTGCATGTGTTTCCTGAGTCTGAAGAGGAATTTATAGATTGGTATCAGACATATGGACTATTATTAGACTTATGGACTTGAACTGGACTGGCCTGGGATGTTCTCTCGATATTCAATTGCTCTTTATATAAAGCTTTCTTATACACATATGAGTGTCTATGAAATTGTTTCTCTAGTTGACCCAGACTAACACAATGGCCCTCAAACATACTCACAGCTGTTGCTGTTTGAGCACACTGTTGCAGCTACTGTGTCAGCCATCTCCTGAGGCTCTTCCTCTCAGGTTCTGCCATCCTTATCTCTAAAGAGCATTCTAGCTGTGCTTTTTCCCAAGACAGATTTAATTAGTCTTCTGGAAGTTCACCAACACCACAATTCACAGTCATCAATTCTTCTTACGTTTTCTTTATCCATTGTCCAATTTCCATATGAAGGGATCGGCAGTACCGTTTGAGTAAGGTACACCTTAGTGCTCAAGGTGGCATCTTTCTTTTTGAACACTGCCAGGAGAGTCTTGCCAGCAGTCCATTTCACTTGTCCAGTGACATGCATCACTTGACTGCGGCTTCCACCAGCACTGATTGTGGACCCAAGCAAGACAACATTCTTGACAACTTCAATCTTTCCTCATTTATCAGGATGTTACCTATTAGTCCAGTTGTGAGGATTTTGGTCTTCCTTACATTTTGAAGGCCACAATCCTTGATCTTCATCAGCAAGTGCTCCAATTCCTCCTCATTTTCAGCAAGCAAGGTTATGTCATCTGCATACTGAAGGTTGTTAATAAGCCTTCTTCCAATTCCGATGCCATACTCTTCTTCATATAATCCACGTTCTTTGATTATTTGCTCAGCACATAGATTAAACACTTATGGTGAGAGGATACAACTCTGATGCACACCTTTCCTCATTTTAAACCATGCACCATTCTGGTCACACAACTGTCTCTTGATCCATATACAAGTTCTGAATGAGCACAAGAAAGTGTTCTGGAATTTCCATTCCTCAAAATGTTATCCACAGTTAATTATGGTTATCAAAGTCAAATGCCTTGACATAGTCAATGAAACATAAGCAAACATCTTTCTGGTATTCTCTGCTTTGAGCCAAGATCCATCTGACATCATCAATGATATCCCTTGTTCCACATCCTCTTCTAAATCCAGCCTGAATGTCTGGCAGCTCCCTATCAATGTACTGCTGCAACCATTGTTGGATGATACTAAGCAAAATTTACTTGTGTGTGATACCAATGACTTCGTTCTATAGTGGGAGCATTGTGCTGGGTCGCTTTTCTTTGGAATGGCACAAACATGGATTCCTTCCAGTCACTTGGCCAGGTAGATGTCTTCCAAATTTCCTGCCATAGACAAGTGTGTGCTGCCATGCTTCCTCAGTTTTATGAAGCTTTTCAACGGGGCCTCCATCAATTCCTGGAGCAAGCATTCGAATCCTTTTTTCTGGTGTTTAACTAGATTGTCTTTTTATAGGAGCCTCAGTAGGAGATATCTGCTAGTTTTGCCTGCCTGTGGGGGACCAGCCTCCACAACTGAATGAGTCCCAAGGGGCAGTTGTGTAATTGAGGGGTAAATTAAAGAGACACGAGATAAGGCATGTAAGGGCTCACCTATTTCATGTTGATTGGAACCAGAAGGAGCAAGTAATTGAAGGGAAGAAATTAAGAGGCAGACAAAAGTTTGGGGTGCTCACCTCCACCATGGCTTCAGGAACCAGGTCTGAGCAGAGAAAGAATGTAATGTAGTCTCATGAGTTTATATAATCTCAGGCACACAAGTCATGGTAAGCACATATGTAACATGAAGGGGTTGTAACTGAGGCATACACGTAACAGTAGGGGGGATGAACTAGGGGTATACACACAATAGGAAGAGGAGATACTAGAGGCATACATGTGACAGGAAGGTACATACCCCCAAAGATAGGCAGACTCTAGAGTCAAGATGGCAGCCTAACCTTGGTCGCCTCTAAACTGGCTTTGACCTTAGGTGTCTTTGAGCTCTTCTGCAAGGGAATCACTAGGATCCTTATCAGGAGTGGGCCATACTTAGGGTTATATGGTTGGACTGCTTTTGATGGCAGATAACTTTTAGGCAGACAGCCTTCAAGCAGTTGACCTTCAAGAGTATAGTGAGCCACCATGTGTTTATTAACAGCACCTTAAATTTGGCATTTAAGGGGACATGAAGGGGAGTGACTTTTACTTTGGAGAATGTGACTGGAACACCAATTTATGAACCTGTGAACATGAAGGACCCCCTCCGCAGCCTCCCAGACACCTTAGCCTATAGCACTGAGAGCTTGTCCACATACTCTTCCCGATTCTGTTCCCAAACCTTAATGAATAGTCCAGAGAAGGGCAAGT